AGCTCTCTTGTGTCTCCAGCTTGCTGGCTCCCCTGCAGAGCTGGGAACTAGCCAGCTTCCATAATCTCGTGAGCCACTTCTTATAATAAATCGATCAATCTCTCTCTCTCTCCCCATATATATATATATGATGTGTATATATACACACACATTTACACATATATGTATGTATATACACACATGCTCACACTCACACTGAACACCTGTTAACTCACACACCTATGAACTCTGTTGCTCTGGCCTAAGAGCCTCACCTATGTTCCTGGTTATTTCCAGCAAGCCCACCCAATTCAGGTTCCTGAACCTACCTGGTCTTCAACCCTGACTACTTGGGTATTAGAAATTTTAAATTTTATTTTTACCTTTTCTTTCTTAAGGGAGAAACCCCTGGAAACTAGAAATGCTTCAGTATATGTTGTGTTTGGGTATCTAGCTAATTTGGAGGAGAAGGTAAATTAACCTCTGAGCTTTTAAAACCTTGAGTATCAGGAAGCAAAAATATGTATTAATTTCATGATCAGAAAAATAACAAAAAAGGTTAAAAAATACCTGTATCTGAATTACTAGTGGACATACATATGTGGTAATTAATCACGATGAGAAACTGAACTACTGGTAGAAGCTATTAAGCATTTTCATGTTGCTGATTTTATTCCTCACGTACAAATACTGTCCTGGCTAAAGGGCACCCTGCATGGACTGAGTCTTCAAAATTTTAGGAAAACATATTTAAGTTGACAAACAAAGGCTAACATTTGTTCATGCTTTAATAGGCTGAACATCAAGCAAATCCTGCTCCTTTATTTGCTCATTTTGCAATAAGTCTTGACATCACCTTCTCTTCTTTCTCGAATTTGCTTACTGAGCTGGGCACAATGCAGTTTTGATGTGCAATCTGATTTCAAAAGAATCTTTGAGACAGCTAATCTTCTGTACACTCATTGTAATTAAATATTACAGCACAAATGGTATATAAGATACTCACCTTCTTGAGAACCTCTTAGCACCAAAGAGCAATGACATTAAATAGTATAGATTTTCAGAGGGTTTTTTTTTTTGTACATTTTTCAGCTTGAACTTTTAACTCTTATGGCACCTAGACCTTGCAAAGAGTAAAGCAGTATATATACCACAGACTGTAAATATCTTTACTAACTGCTTTTCATTCTGTCCTAAACTCTCCTTTTACCTCCATTTAAGATCTGTTAGTACACTAATCTGCTTGTTTCATCCTTGAAAACAGGCAGTAGGAAATGACATACTGAATCAGACTGATAATCAAGTACAGTTGTCTCTTATGGTAAATGTCACCAGAGTGTTCTGTGAGAGAGTATGGCTGTTATCTTTAACTTTTTAAATCCCGTATCTTATTTCCACTGACGGTCCTTGATCAGTCACTTCATCCCTCTCCTAACCCTCCTATCCAAGCTTACACCAGGCAATAGTTCCATAAATTCACAATCACCCTCAGACTTTCAGTGGTCTTAAAACTACATCTGCTTCAAGAAGTAACCCAACTCGATTTGGAGAATAAATCCACCCCACACATGACCTTCATGATTTATTTCCACGTTTTTCAGACTGAGATCCTAAGTTTTGAAAAAAAATGTGCTTTTCTTGAAAAAGTAAACAAAGAGGTGAAAACAATCAAAACAGTGCAATAACAGCTCTTTCAACATACACACTCATAGCTCCCTTCGCTAAGTATACCTATGGCTCCAGCTGCAAAGGGCCTTGGGTACCAAATAGCAGCTAAAGTTTGAATCGCCAGGCAGCAGAAATCTGACCAAGGAGAAAAGATCTATCATTATTACTAGTTAAGATCTCTCACAGGAAATGAAACCCATCAGTCGAAAGTTCATTCTATGCACATAGAATTTCCAATGTGCTCTTTTAAAAAGTGAACATATAGTGAAAATGACCAGATATATGGTATGAGGAAAGCATGTAATGTGAGATACCCGAAAGAGAAACAGTAAAAAGGAATAAGGCTATGAACGAAGCTGAAGGAGACATCAAAGATGCTAAAGTTAATAATCAGAGGAGAATAAAAAAAGCTACTGAATATACTAAAGAAAAAAAAAGAGATAAAAGGTTAATTCAGAGAAAAAATGTAAAAGTATGATGGAATAAATAAAAACTCAATTGGTAAAAGGTAAAAAGGTTCTCAAGAAATCTCAAGAATTCTTTTAAAAAGACAAGAAGAAGAACACTAAGAAGAAAAGAGAAGAAAAATTACAAGAACGAGTATAGGAGATTCAGTGTGTGATTCCAAGCATCCCCCACTTCCCAAAGTTCGTGTTACACCACTTTGCTTCTACGGAAGACCCCTGTTAGTACAGTAATGGCTTCCTTTTTAGGTGAAAATTCTCTTAGGATTGGTTTTGGCTGGTGAAAACAGGTACTAATGTAGGTCTTTCATAAAAGTGAAGTGACAACGTGAAGTTTCAGAAAAAGCAACATTACTCTTTGCTTTATGCCCTTTCAGCTATCAAAAGGTTTACAGGGATGCTCTACTTTCAGAATGCAGGGAAAACCTGAAATGGGAGATCAAGAAAAACTGGACAGGGAAAACAGAAAAAAGAGGAAGTTTTCAAAGAAATAATTACCTTTTTTTTCAACAAAACTAAATGCTGCATTTTTTTCAGACTCAAAAGACTACTGAGTGCCCAATAGAATTGTTGAGTAGAAGACCTTTACCAAGTTATATTAACTTGAACTTTTACAATAGTAGATGCTACGAGTTTCCTGAAAAGAAAAAAAAACAGGTCAGGAATTAGAATGGCACATGATTTTTTGAGAACAACACTAAAAGCTGGAAAACAATGGGACAATGTTTTGAAAGTTCGAAGTTCAAAACTGTTACCCAAGCGGAGGAGTAGGATAAAGGCATTTTTGGCATACGAGACCTCTAACATTTATTTCTCAGGAAATATGTAGGGTTGAGCTTCACTTAAAAAAAATGAAAAGGGAAAGACCTGGGAGAAGAGGAGGGCAAAAGTGATGGCAGGGAGATCCCGGGATGGCAGGTCCGCATTAGGACGAGAGCGCCACCATTTGGGATGGGACAGTGAGATGGAGAGCTCCAGGAGGCATTTCTGAAATTGTGATAAAAATTCACATATTAGTCGATATGTTACAATGTATCAACAATATATGTTTAGTTATGGAGATGAGTCTGGGGATGCGATAATGATGAATAAATGAGAGCTACAGAAAAATTAAGCAAACTAAAAAGAAAATTATTATCTCTAGGGAATATAAGAAGATGTTTAAGATGTTAAAGGAAATACAGTCATTGATGATGATGTAATGATTCATGGAACTGAAATTAAGCTTAACTATACTGAAAGGAGGGGAGGAGGGAAAGGTGTGTGTGTCTTGAAGGCGGCTGCATAGTAGCCCCGAATCACCCTCTTCCATTGTAGGAAGTCAGCAGGTGACACACTAAAGGTGAGAGCAATCGAGCAATGTTGGTACAGGCATCTTATCTTGAAATACGAAGGCAGGTAATGAAGGATACTGCTGAAAGATTTCTGAGAAGCAGAAATGAGGAAAGAGGAATGCAATATTTTATTTAAACCCTTCAGAACTCTGACTTTTAACAAATTGTGCATGTAACTTTGATAACGATATATTAAAATATAATTCTTTGCAATGAAAGTGTGTTTTGAATGCAGACGGAAGCGTATCACCAGCTCTTCCATATCGTGCTGTGTTCCCATAAAAACATCTCGTACACCGTCTCACACCAGCATGATCAATGGACTCACAGTTACATACCATCCCCTTGTGCAGGCATATTTTTGATGTGCACATTTATAAATACACTGTATTGGAATATTACAATCCCAGAAGTAAAATTCTGGGTCAAAACTTTGAGATATTTCTCTATCTCCCTCCAGACATGTGGCATCCAAATGCGTGGCTTCCCTGGCAGCTGCCCCACACCGGCACCAATGGTGTCGTCTTCTCAGCCCGGCAGGGGAAAGCGCGGACGGACACTGCTGCTTTGTCGCACCGTTTAAAACTCAGTTCTCTGAAAACTCGCTCGTCAGTCCCCATTCTAAGAATCTGTGCCCACTCAGATCCCTTCTCCATCCTCTTCTCACGTTCTCCACTCTAGTTCCCATACACATATATATCCTTCTCTTCCTTTACAACGCTGGACAAAATTTACCTTTTCCAGAACGCTGTTATAATAACAATCTTACTTTCCACGAGCACTGTATATGAATGTGCTTATAGTCATAACTATAGATATTCCTCAGTTTAAGATGTGTGCCAAAAATACTGTGATGTAAAGATATAAAATTGTAAAGAGTTACATCTTTGCAGTGATTTTCATCTTAACAATATCTCACAGAATTTAAGGTGTGACTGACTGCAAGACATACCATTATTTTAGGAGCTACTAATAAAAAAAGAGAAAATACCAGTATGCTTTCTTATCACTTAAATTTTTTTATTTTATACCTACTGAATATTACGTAATTCATATTTTTACATCCTTTGGAAGTAAAAGCCGTATGTAAAAATGTTAATCAATTGTATGGTTATAAAAAGTAGGATGATTAGTGTATTTTGAAAACTGGTAAATTACTGAGTCACCTACACGAGATGATGCCTACAAAATAACCAACGTTAGTACAAAGGGGGCTGCTGCCAGTATCGGTTTAATTATGTTAAGCCATTAGAGCAGTCAGTTCTGTAAAGCAAAGCTGATACCCTATTAATTCACTTGTAAACTTTGCAAATGCTTCTCAGTACCAATGGACACATTCTCCAAACATCAATGCCCATTACACACTCTGGGAGGCTTTCTGGCTCTGTGATTGATTTGCCTGCGGAAATGCTGAGACTGATTTCCTTGGCATGCACTTTTACAGCAGAGGGTATGGGATCGACGGAGGTGTGGTAACCAACACACAGTGCCAAAGTCTGGAGTTGACCTTGTTCAGAGGTCAACAGATATACATTAAGGCAAAGTACTACGTTGCTTGATTCAAGAGCAGTTATATTTATTTTAAGATAATGTAAGAATGTAAGGTTGTGTTACAATTATATTTTATAATAAAAACAATAAACTGGAACTCATGTTAAATGAATTTCTTACTATTAAATGATTCTGAGAAGTACCACAAACCTTTCATCATGTAGGCTCTCTGTAAAGAGTATGATACTAAAATTTTATGTATAGTGTCATCTGTCCAAAGAACAATTTGTAGAAGGAAATACTATAAATAACAGCATACATGTGTTTAGTACATTACTATTTTCAAAGCATTTAAAATTTTTTCAATTGATGTAAACAACAATACAATGAGTTTTTTTAATCTCTCATTTTAACGAGAGGGTAAAGTTTGTAAGTGATAATATGTAGGGAATCATGGTAATTTACTACTCTTTTTCACTTCAATTGACTAGAATATTTCACTTTTTCCTGTTTTCATATTATGCTGTAGTCTTATAGAGAGATGAATGGACATTCACTCTGATACATAATAAAGAATAAAGATTGCATACATAGTATTTCTTGAGAGAATAGCAGAATTATATATAATTTTAATGAGCTTAGTTTTTAATGTACATTTATAGGACTGTTCTAAATGACAACTTTTCCATGTATGCAAGATAGTTTACAATCAAAGATGAAAGCAGATTACATTTTCTCCGTTGTTTTAGAGAGCAAGTAATGTTGAGGACCTTCCGGTAAGGTGAACAGACCTGGGTGTGTTAGATGAACGGACAGGCATTTTCATATCAATGGACTGAATCAACCTTGAAAGCAGATGAACTACTTATACTATACAGAATCCTCAAATTTATGAATCATATTTCTATACCAATGTAATAAATAATATCAGATAAAGAATGTAAAAAGTCAAATACATAGTAAATGCTAATAACATTTTTCTTGGAAATAACATTACTTTTATAAATAGGCTGATGCACAGCTATCAATTTCACATTTAATAACTTATAAAAACAAAGTCAGAATTTCTTATTTTGATAAGCAAAAGCAAGGTAATAGCTGGAGTGTATGCACTGTACATTAAATACATCTTGGAAAAGAAGATAAATGAACCTATCTTCATATAATACATTCACATATTAATTTAAATTCATTGTTCTACCTTTGTACAATATCGCTTTATAAATGAAACTTTTTAACTGAACAAATTTCCATTAAGTACTACCAAATTTTCCTCCAAGTGAGAATCTAACTTTATTACTTTTTAATAGAAAGTTTTTCTTTTCTCTTTTATTATTTTGAAGTAATGAATTATATTAAATTATTCATTATTACTATTTGGCATTACTTTTGCAGGTGGTCCTTTTGCAAGAAACAAAATGTTAGCTTCTATCTAATATTTGCCTAAGTCTTTAAACCACTTCGTATCAGTCTCTCACGGTACTCAGCCTGATGCTGCAGACACTGCGAACGATGCGCAGTGAGCTGCGGACCTGTGTGATGCTGTTCTCATAGCGTCACTAACACGCGCCACCTGCCGTCAGGAGCGGCGCCATGTTAAACAGGGACAATGACAGAGGCTCCTGCCACAATCACCGCCATTCCACCATCAGTGCATGACTGGTTTTTGAACAAAAAATATCTACATTCAATTTCTTTACTGTATACATAAAAGAATACCAGACATTCTCTGTTGACTTTGATAAATAAAAACTTTTAAAAAACTTTATGTGATTCAAACAATGTATATTAAGTACTTTTAAAAGTTAAAAGTACAGTGTAAACCATCATATTGTATAGTATCTTCTATTAGTTTTTCAAAACACGTTCAATGTAACTAAAAATAAATAATAGGGATTTATCAACAATTCTAAGACCCTTTATTTTCTTAAAATAAGTTCACAGTCTAAAACCAAGAAAATATGTCATTGTTCATTTTTAAGTGATCTAGATTCCAGGAGTCATATGTTATTTTGAAATTAGACAAATTTCTAATACATATTTATTATGTAAATATTTAAAATACATTCTTACATAGTCATTGGAAGTATCTATATACTTCTGAAAGGAATGAAAAAGTGCAGAGTTCAGTAAATCGAGGCAAAAGCTTAACCTGGTAACACATAACCTTTGTAGTTAGTAAGAAGATGCATTTTATCTGTCTTATGTTCAAGAATTCAGTTCAAGAAAAGATTGTAATTAGCATTTCACCTTTTCCTGCATTTTTGCAAGTTCTGACCTCAGACCTGCTTCTGTTCTCTGAAATTTTGGCTTCTTGCATTTGTCATGTAGATAATCCTTTAAACTTTGCTTTACAGGTACCTAATTCAAAAATATACATATAAAAGCAGTATTTATTTAGAATGAAATTCAGGTGATGGCATTAATCAAATATTACTCTGATAATAATATGAAACAGTAAGGTAAAATACCCAACAGAAAATATAAGGATAAAAGACTAAATTATAAAATATTCCCTTCAATTTAAAAGTTCAGTGCTTTGTTTAGTAACTTGTCTAACCATCAGTCTGATAAAGGTCTATGATAAATGTAGTCATTTTAGTCTATGGTTCTCTGTGCTACTGCAGACAATCAATAGTGTTGGTGTGACAGTAGGACAAGTTAGTTGGCAACAGTACTGGCGTGAACATACAAATTGTAAGGTCCTACTTTTTTTAATATGTAAATTCCTTACAGGGCAGTATCAAGTTCTTTAAAACAGAGATTAGGAAGACCTTTTGTTTGCTCAATCAAAATAGTTACCACCTTATGTAAATACATAAACCCACTTGCCACTCAGCATTTTAGACTAGCATCTCCCGAGATGGGTTCCACAAAACGCTAGGTCTCAAAGCTACTTTGCAAAATATGGAATACTGCTGTTTTCTTTTAGAGAGACAAATGCATGGTAGCATAATAAGATCCTGTAAGTTCTAAGGGGGAAGGAACCTCTTTAACTATGTTTATTGTATTTCTGTAACTTATTTGATGAAACTTTTTTTAAAGAATAATATGCATTGATATCCTTTGGAGTCTCTTTGGCAATACTGCTATATACAAATATAAATATTTCAAGCTTGAGAAAAACAGCAAGAAATATACATTTGCAAACATGTATGAATGAATGAAACCTGCAAATAGAGAACTAATTGGAACCCACAACTGACCAAAATGTTACAGGTGCAGTTGACTTTTAGAAGAGAAAAGGAGAACGAAACCCTCATTTTGGAGATGAGCATCAAGTCTGAGACACTTCTCTGGGTTGATACGAACTGAACGGGTCTCCTGTTTCTTCCTCACTGATGCTGTTCTACAGTGACAGTTTAAAAAATAATAGAGAAGGTGGCTCTGCCATCAGACAGAAGGATGCTCAGACCCGAGTTTGTGACTTACTAGAGCATGCTGGGCAAATGGCTCTTTAGGCCTCTCCTCTCTGGGCTGTTAAGTGGGACACCTGTGAAGGTGAAACGGGGTTCTGCACGGGGAAGAGCACCCCACCCCATACAGAGTCACGCACATGAAATAGCACTGAAATCATCAGGTGCCATTACTGTAGCAGACGTTTGGGATCATAATCCTAAAAAATGGTAATAAATATTCCTTGATGTTACTGATCCTAGATTATAAAAGCCCAGTCTGGTGTGATTATTTTGTATCTACCTGGATACAGAGCTGAAGGTTAAACAGAATAATTCTCAATCAAGACATTTCAGGAGAATTCCAGGTGGATGCGTATTTTACCCGGTTTATTTTTAGATCACGCCTTACCAGTGACAAAGTAGTGCTGTTATAACGACTAGTTCTTGAACTGAATTACGGGTCTAAAATAAAATCATTTAAAAAGTAATTCTTAAATTGAATTAGTGACCTAAAAATTAAATATGAATTGTATTTCTCTCAGCTATTTCCTAAATATCAGAGCAGAAAAACAGGTTATGGCCCTTTCTTTACTGCTACTGAGCAATTTTAGACAGAGAAGCTAACATACTTATCTGCTGTGCAGTTCCTTCTTCAGACAGGACTTGAAAGTGGGATATTTCTGAACTGTTTTATAACCCTGTGGGAGAGAGGATTAAAAATGCAAATGTAAATAGAATTTGTGGGACTACAGGTATGCACTAAATACAGGGAAAAAAAACCATACAACACCTAAGTGAGAAATACAGTCAGAAGTTACAGCATAGTTTATATCTTAACTTGACCTTGCTACCCTAAGATGTCTGAGGAACATTTCAGAGGAAGAGAAAATGTTCAGAGGAACATTTTGGGGAACAGACGATTTTCACCGTATGCCCTTTCAGGTATTGGAGCCATCATCGCAAATGTTAACAACTAACCACTAGGGGGCAGTTCAGTACACAGTATCTTTACCAAGACTGCTTGGATTTTAAAAAATCATTAAAGATCTTTAAAAGCACTGTCCAAGATGAATACTGACTTTTTATATATATAACTTCTTTTCTTTTTAAATGTATAATGCGTAGGGGTATTCTTACTAAAGAGGGAAGACTGCACATTCTAGCTGTTAATAGAATTTTTTTTCTTTTTCCATTTGTGACACCATCCACAAATATGTTAGATATGTAAACATTTATTGACTCACACTACATTGCATTCTTTAAAACATATTTCTGAGAAAAAAATCACTGAGTTCCTCATAATTACTTTACAGTGTAAGCTGTTAACAGAATGCATGGTTCAACAGACAAAAAAGAAAGTACTGAGTACGCCGTGACTTTAAGTACCTCAAGTTGCCCAGTGGAAACCCACATCATATAAAATGAGAAACAGTGATATTTCCTTGTATACTAATAAGTTTCAAAGCCAGTGTGCAGAATGGATTAATCAAAAATATTTGGTAATACTTCCCTCCACAAATTGGGATGAAGACATTAAACTACTTGAATATGAAAGTGTTAATAAAATTCATATTGATTTTATATTTCAAAAAAGCATTACATTTTATCACTTCACCTTATTTTTGAAAGTAGGTAGGGCCTTACATTTTTCTTTTCAAATATAACATTTCATGTTTATATCCTTAAAAATTTATATAAATTGTTTCTGAAACTTAGATGGATTTTTTTTTCTTTCAGTTTAAAAAAACAGTATCAATAGACTTAAAATTTATAGGTTTACCCGGAATCCTCTATGGAGTCTGTCTTTCATAATTCCAATAAATTCTTTATAGCTTAGTTGATCATCTTTGTCAACGTCAAAAATCTTGAAGACTGTGTTCACTAAGTGTGGTGAAAGTTTGAGGCCAGTAGCTACATAGACAGCACGCTTAAATTCATCTGGATAAATGTTACAGAAAAGGAGTAAGTCATTGACATTATTTTTATAATATGCCTTAATTACTAGAAAGGTTATAGAAGAAGTTTTTTAATAAATACAGTCATGATCTTATGCAACATGACTTTTCATTAATCATGTCATCTTTTAGGGAACAAAAATCATTTGCAGTTTTAATTTAAAGAGCCAAGAATAGGTTTATCTTAGTTTAATAATGCAATCATAGTCAATGAATATTTAATGAGCACCTACTATCAGCAACAGATATTTTAGAGGTTATTAAGATAAGTAAGTTCTCCAGAAACTGACAGTCCTGACGGGAGATGAGACAGGACTCATCGCCCAAATAATCATTACAAAGGACCACGCTAGCGTACCAACGAAGTGCTACGAAGATCTGGAAATGAGCGATCACCCAGTGGGTGGTGTGGGGTAGGGAAAGGAGAGAGAACCCCAGTGATCAGGAAAGGCTGCAACTTTGTATGTGAGCTGAGCCCTGAAGGACAGAAGACTTCAGCTTGTGGGTGAGAGAAATGACAGAGGAGGTGATGACAGAGGAGGGGATGACATGAGCAAAGGCGTGGAGGGGGTGGGAGGTAGATGACGCACATTCAGATAACAACGAGCAGCCTGGACACAGAGGAGCTGGAGCTGCTCTGTGCAGGGACTGCGGAGAGGAACCTGTGCATCCTGCAGCAGGCAGCTGGGAGCTGAAGACTTTTCCACAGCAGCCATGCCACAGAAAGGTTAATCTGTGTTCTAGAAAGATTACTCTGTGAGTTGCCTAGGAAATACTGGAGAAGAAGGTGGGCTTTGGCAGGAATACCAGATCTGGATTAGTGTGCCAGTAGTAACAATAGGAGAGGAAGAGACAGATATATTCCTAGTACCTTCAAGGTCCTAGGACACAATTGGTTTTTCCCATTCCCCACTTGCACAAAGTGGAAGAACCACTGTCCACTCTGAACCAGGCAAGCAGACTTCTTTTCCTTTGTGGTTGGTCGGTAGGTTTACCGTGGTAGTGAACGCTGGTCTGGGAAGGCAGCGTTCCCAAAGGTTTGGGTTTTAAAACAGTAAAGTGGGTTGAGTTGAGAAGACGCTCTGTTTGAAAATCTAGACTGGGCAAAGGGTGAAGTAAGACAAATTTTCAGGTCTCTCTTCCTCAATGAGTAAACGAATGAAGCCATGTGAGGGATTCAGTCTCGGTGCTTTGGGAAGAGAACCAACATTAGGATTTAGGGGCTGCAGCTGGGCTTCTCCCCAGAACTTGGCAATAAAACGACAAGACTGTCCCCTCAGGTGACATTTGGGAAATGGCGTTTATGAGGTGATGGCAGACACAGGTCACATGACCTCACAGACGTGAGCAGAAAGTCCTCACGTGGCGTGAGTGTCTAAAAAGGACACCGCCCTGGGGGAGGGGGGGAAGCAGTCGCAGCCACGGAACCCTAGACGAAGGACTTGACTTGTCAGTCTACCTACAGGGGAGGACAGGGCTGGTCCTGAGGTTAACACTGAGTTCTATGACCACTGTGTGTCTTCACACAGTGAGCAAAATCAACATTCGATTTTATATACTGCTCTTAAAATGCGGCTAATGTAAGTCCATAGCTAAGAGGGGACTCTGTTGACAAAATTCAGGTTTCCGAGCCAGGGACTGCGGGTTATATGCGCATCATCCCACAAGGACGCCTGAGGCACGACCAGCTGGCTTTTCTGTCAGAAGACACACATCCTTCAATGCGACTGAGTGGCCATGAGGTTTGCTCTCTTTGAACTTTTACAAACATCTTTAACTTTTCCCCATAATGTGAGATGAAGGGTGATAATAAATTTTATTTTTATATTTTATTTACTGAATTTATTGGGGTGACATTGGTTAATAAGATCATATAGGTTTCGGGCGTACAAGTCTGTGATACGTCATCTGTATATTGCACTGTTAATATACAAGTCTAGCACATTTCCCTAAACGCTGCTTAGGGAAAACAGATTTCCCATTGACGTACACAGCAAACTTTCAGGCAAGTCGATGGCTAATATGATATATCTAATTAATTTGCTGTCAAAGCCCTCAGGACAATGTAGGATTAGTTTTTGCTGCTAATTTTTAAAAATGGTTGTTACTTACCTTGCCCTATGGAACGACTTGCAAAGTTATACATATTCAGGGCTATGGCAAAATCTTCTAGGTTGTTCAGAAATTGGAAAAATGACCTGAATTCATCAAATGTGATGCCCTGTATTGTGAGAATATAAGTACATTTTAGTACTGCCAAATTTATTAAAATAAGTTATCTACACTTACTAAAATAAATAGATTAAACATGTGCAATATATCTTGCAAGTAAACATTTCCAGGGCACATTCGGAACCTTTCTCCAATGGAGTGTAAAGTCCACTCAGATTTTTTCCTATTGCACAGCGATGCTACTGTCGGCAACACTAGGCGAGAATACTTAAAAAATACTGTCATATCAACGTGAAGTTCCAAAAAAATTGCTACAATAAAAATGGATAAAAAATCTTCAATTTTGAAAACTCTGTATTTCAGGCCTGAATTGTTTAAATCCTCCAAGTAAATGTGATGACAAAGGAAAAAAAGTAAAAAAAACACCTAAAATAATGTCCCCTGTACATGTACTCCTTAAGTATAATTCAGCATCATATTGTGGTTATTAATGTCTTTACAATGAATGACAAAGCAAAGTCAAAATCAGCCGACAGCAGAGCATGTTCCCTTGTCTCCGCTTGGGGGGGGGGAAATGCCGGGACAGCAGGGGGGCCAGCGGCTGCACGGCTGCCACTCCGGGAGGCCCACCCTGGGAGGCCCACCCCGGGGCCTGTGTGGGTCGCAGGAAGGGCTCTGGAACACCATTTACATGAATGGCCATCACTGCCACTACTATTACTTGACTTAAACAGGAAACTTATTTAAACTAACACCACATACCTCAGATAATACAAACGTGGCCATGAAGAGCTATATTTAATAAACGCATTCCCAGTAAAATCAGTAACTGAAAGGAAGAGTATACTGAAAAGAGCAGAGGGCCCAGAGCTCATGTAGACTTACCAATTTCCAACCTGAATAGAGGGGCACAGGGAGTCTGATTTCATATAAGCCAAGTACTAAGTGATTATTGTCAAGATAGTATTTATTATCAATTTCTTATCAAAATAATAAGACCAAATCTTGGTATACATTAGTTCCACTTCAATTACAATCCCTCTTTATCTGCAAGGAAAATCCTCAGTGTCTTTTCTTTTCATATTTTTTTCTCTTTATTTATACTCAGGATTGGCTATTCCAAACCTGAATTCTGCTTTCTGGCTCAGTCCCACCTGTCCCGTTTCCCAGAGGGGAAGCCAGTGAGGGAGGCGGGACCAGGAGGAGGGGTTGGTGCAGAGGTGGGAGACTTGTGCTGGGAGCCTGGCCACCGCTCTGCTCCTGAATCAGTTCACGCTGCGACCAGCTGCCAGCACCAGTGTCAGTGCCAGGGTGTCGTGTCAGTGCTGGTAAAAGTGAAAACCAGGAGGATGAAACATTTTTAAGCAAAGTGTAAACAAAAATGTCAATAATTTCAGGAAGAGTACTATATTTTTTTCTTTCTGCTTCTGGGCATTTGAGGAAATCTCTATCCGTTCTCTGGTTAAGCACTAAGATAACGGAACAGAACCTTTAGTGACTGCACATGACAGAGAATACAAATGAACAACTGCAGGGAGAATCTGATTTCCAGGGTTACTACACTATAACATTCAAAATGTTTTGTTTTTAGCAAAAATTACGATACATACAAAGGATCAGAAATATTCGCAGGAAAAAATAAGTCAATAGAAATCAACTCTGAGGAAGCCCAGACTGGACTGAAAAACAAAAACTTTAAATACACTGCTTTAAATATCCTCAAAAGAGCTAAAGGAAACCATCATGGGCAAAGAACTAAAGGAAATCCGGAGAACTATGTATGAATAAAATAAAGAAAAAGAAACTGTAAAACAAGAAACAAAAAAAATTCTGGAGCTGAAAAGCACAATAACTGAGATGAAAAACTGGCTAGAGACATTCAAAAGCAGATCTGAGCCAGCAAACGAAAGAAACACTGAACTTAAATTAGGAAAACTGAAATTACTCAGCACGAGGAGAAGAAAGAAGGAAGAAAAGTGAACAGATCCTAAGGGCCCTGGGGATACCATCAATGTACTAAGTTGTATATGTGCTATTGGACTTCCAGAAGGAAAAGAGAGAAAGAGGCAGGAGGAACAGTTAGCTAACTAATGGTTGAAAACCTCACAAATGTGATGACATATGTCATTTTACAAATCCAAGAAACTCAACAAACCCCAAATACAAAAAATGAAGAAGACCCACATGATAATACATTGTACTCAAATTGTCAAAAGCCAAAGCCAAAGATAATCTTAAAAGCAGTAGGAAAAAAGTGAGTCTTCACATAAATAGGATCCCCAATCAGACTAACAGCTGATTTCTCATCAGAAACCATGGAGGCCAGAACTGAGTAGGATACTTCAGTTGCTGAAAGAAAAAATTTGTCAACCAAGAATTCTGTATGTACTAAACTCCAAATAAGAAGGAACTCTGGAGAGTATTACGCTAAGTGAAATAAGCCAGTCAGTGAAAGACAAATACCATATGTTCTCACCTAAAGTGGAACCTAATGAACAAAACATACACATGAGCAAAAAGGAACTAAAGACATGGAAATAAAGAACAAACTGACAGTGACCAGAGGGCAAGGAGGAGGGGGTAATGGGGCAAAGAAGGGGAAGGGTCATCAAGGAACACGTATGAAGGACCCATGGACAGAGACACTGAGGAGGGAGAGGACTGAATGCAGGGGGTGGGGGGTGGGTAGGACAGGGGGGAGTAACGGGGGAAACAAGGACAACTGTAATTGAACAACAATAAAAAAATTAAAAAATAAGAAAGAAGCTGAATTGAACCTAAAAGTTTTATTTTGAAACAATTTTAAATGTGAAAAATAGTTCCAAAAATAACACAAAGAGGTCTCATACACTTTTCACCCTGGAATTAAACTTTTTGAGTTATAGATTTCTGTAAGTTTCTATAAGATGAAAGAATAAAAAAGGCAGATTCTTTAAGGTCCTAAAAATACCCTAATAGTTTGACATAGTTCAACTTCCAATACTTTTTTATTAGGGAAGTGTTTATGAATCAGAAAAATTCAGCTCAACATGTAATACAGATAAAAGACTTCTAATCACGGGGTGATGTAAAATTAATGGCCAAATGCAGCAGGTCCTTTTATCTCATTCCTTAGGGGACATGAAGAATTGTTAGCGCTGTCACCGTGTAGCCATTTTAAACAAAGCCAAGCTATTTGCAAGTTTTTCTTGGACAGATGAACTTGATCCTTGTACAAACACACACAGAAGGCAATATATCCCAAACATCCCATGCTTGAAGGGTACTCGTAACACCAGTTCTATTTGGTTGCAACGATGCATTCAAAGACCACTAGATAATGCATGACTGCTCAGAACTGCCGACAAAACACTTGCGGCCAGACAAATAGACAGTCAGTTGTTCCAGGTTCTTAACCATTCATGCCATCCAAACGCTTTGAAAGACCTCACTTCAACTGCTGATAAGATCACTCACTCATCACTGGCCATCTTCAAATGGCCTTTTACCGAGAATATTACAGAAATGAATCAAGTGTGACTGAAGTGATGTCAACATAAACTGCTTTGTATGAGCTGATGTTTACGTAGAAGTCAAAGCATACAGCTAGGCAGAATTCTCCAGAAAAATGATATTCATAATCTGAATAAAACAATAACCTTAATGGTTTTTAGTATACCTGAGGAAAATATGAATATCTATCCAGAATTTTAAATTAATGAATTTTTAAAATTTAGCCAGAATGCTTAGAATACATAGGAAGAAATGAAGTATATCCAAAGTATCTATTAATCCACAGATGGGCAAAAGGACAAAGGACAATATATTTTATAAACCTGTAAAATAACAAGATAATGAAATATGTAACGAAATAAATATGGGGGATTAGATACCTTTTCTTCAGGTATACTGTAGCGCACATTCTCCAAAAATACTGACGTATTTTCCACATTTGTGTATCGTAAAAGAATATGAGCAAAATCTTCTTCACTGATAGTATTCATCCCATTAGAGTAGGAAAGGAACTCTATTTCTAGAACTTCTGTTTGAAGGTTATCCATGAACCTACGACAGAAACACACAGAGAGTGAATCAGATGAATGCAGAGAGAAGGAGACAGATGGTGCTCAGCCTCTCGGGCCTCTGGCATCTTCGCCTGTCAGCGGGGCGTCACCACAGCACCCTGCAGAGTCGGGAGGACACTTACAGCAGTCGGCGTGCAGTGTCCAGTGTCTGCTGCGGGGCTTCTGAATTCACAGGAAGTAACGATCCAGACGTCCAGACATTCTTTATCCGTCAGTACCTTCCTATTAGCCTGAGCAATAAAACCACTGGCCTACAGGTACCGCTAGAAGTGGACGGTTGTTAAGGTGGATGGAAACAGCAAAGAGGTATCACTGCACTAGACGATTCTAAAGACCTTTCTGACGTTAGCATGTTAACATTTTCTCCAATGCAAATACAAAAATTAAGCTCACCTATAAAAATCTTCAAAGTTCAGCTCAGCTCTTCCTTTTTTTCCAAAAAAGTGTACAAGAAGTGTAGTATCTGTTACTAAACTCGTAATGTCATCAGCACGCTTTAAAAAAATTACAATTTAAAGGTTAGCTGCAATAAATGAACAGGATAGGGATACCTGATATCCCCAAAGAATGTTATCAACACATAAGTATCTAAAATACAAATATACTATTAGAATGAAAAGCATAAGGCTGTATTAATAAATGCCATTACAGTTAAAATGAAGTTTGAAGTTAGATGAATAAAATCTACCTTTATCCTCAAAAATTTTTTAAAAATATGATTATATACTTTAGGAAGTTTTCTACCTCAAATGATGCATATAGGGTATCTATATTTTAAATTATCTAAAATAGTTAAACTCCTTTAGTAATCATCTATTTCATTTTTACTTAAGCAATGTATAGTATAGATTTTCTTATACAACTTGAAAATATTTTTTTAAGATGTCTGAAAGAGGCACATTCTTCAGATTTATTGAGCATACAGACTGACAAAGGAATGGTCTCAAGCTCTACAAAGTCACCCCCTCCAACATGAGGGTTTTATTGTAGTCCACATTTATGGAACTTACATTTTGAAAGAGAAACGACAGTAGTATTACTTTGGCATTTACATCATCTATAATGGCTTTTTTTTTAAAGTCTTACATTATTTTTTGAAAAATTCCAGAGGGTTTTTCCTTTCCCACTCAACTTGATAAACTAAGTTCCAACAAGTATATTCTTAAAATAGGTCAATTAGAGTCCTTATAAAGTTCAATGACCTATGGGAAATCTTCATTCAGTCTTTTTATGTAGCTTTATAGGTTTTTCCTTTCTTTTCCCTTCCTACCACCCTCCCTCCCTGTCTTTTCCATTCCTTCTTTTTCTTCCCTCCCTTCTTCATTTGGCCATCAACTCATTTCTATCTTAAAAACTCAGGTAAAAAATGATAAATTTCACATAATTTTACCCCTCTAATATATTCTCCTGGAAATACAAGAAAATTAAGAGGTCAAATAATAACTATCACTTTATTAAAAGGGACATATATGAACTGTATTACTTCTTGGCCAGAATTCTAACAATAAGTACTCCATAAAAAAACATAAGAAATAGAAAGCATATACTTCTCTATAAAGGATCAGTTGTTTCCCCCTCTCCCATACTCTAAATTTTGGTAGCTTTGTTTTACATTAAAAAATTTTTTATTGTATTTTTTCCATTACCACTTAGCACCCTTATGCCCCCCTCCTTGCACTGCAATCACCATGCTGTTGTCTGTGTCCACGAGTCCTTTTTCCTTTTTGCTCAGTCCCTCCACACCCTGACCTCCCTCCACCTTAGCTGTCATCCTTCTCTCTATGAGTTGATCTCTATAGAGATCAACTTGATCTCACTTGTTTGCGGTTTGTTCATTAGATTCCACGAGTGAAATCAGATGGTATCTTTTGATTCCTCACAGCCCTCTTTCCAATCTTCCATGAAGACAGCTATTTTATCTTTCATAACCTTTATGGGATCTTTATTTCATTTCTCACTAAACCAAATATTATTTTAACTAGTATGGTGGTCTTTTCCCCTCCTACATTTCCTCTTTAAATCCATGACACTTTTTCTAAAGTGATCTCTCTACTACATTGATTACTCACATCTCTCTTAAAAATGCCAATATGTAGGACATCTTCTGCTTTAAATTATCTAAAACTGTTGGAATTCTTAGTAATCATCTAGCCTATTTATATTTAAATAATTTAGTTTAAGTTTTTAAAATAATCTCTGGTGTATAACCTCCTTACAATTGGTTAAGATTTAGAAGATCTCTACTATTTCTTAGTTTAGTTTGTTGACAAGTCCTAAGTATTCTCAGAAGTTGCAATAACCAAGAAGTTCCCTATAATAAAACCAACTTCTCTGAAGATCTGCTTGCTAGGGGGAAAATGACACAGCCAGGAAATCAGGTGTCACATACTATGTTTTCAGCATGAGGAACTGGGGGATCCATCTAGAAGCTAGAGGAGTGGAATGTGGGGGAAGGACAGAATAGATAAGGGAAGGGATGGTGTTTTAGAAAAAGTTGCTTATTTCACAAATAAGCGTAGTGTGGTGAACAAATATGATAAGCCCAAGAGCCAGAATTCTGGCTTTCCATCATTAGCTAAGCGACCTTGGGGAAGTGACTGTCTCTGATGATGTGATCGTCCTCAGGAAGAACAGCAGTACCTGCTGCTATGGAGGGCAGCTGTGAGCATTCCGTAACGCGTGCAAACCATTCAGCACCGAAACGGGCATGTTGTGCATGTCCCATAAATATGAGCTTTTACTATTTTGGCCAAATCAGTGTATTTCAAGAAATTAAAAAAGGGCCAGACAAGATAGAAAAGATAATAACACTGAAGCTTACTGCCAAAAAATAAAAAAAGATTTTTACATGGTACACTTTTACATTTTTGTTATTAAAAGCACACATGTATGTTATGTAGGTCTGGGCTGGGGGAGCCTTAAAATGAGAGGTTACAGGAATACCAAAACTTAGTGAACTCAGATAACAAAACTATGAATGCCTTCTCTAGTGATGTGCTTTCCCTCAAGACATAATACACTGAAATAAGCTGGCTTTGTTTTACACGGGTTTAAATAATGACCTCATTCAGCCAGTTTTTCTCAGGCCCACTGAGCAGAGCAGATCTTCATTTACAGTCTTTCATCATCAAAATCTTATTAGACTTGGGTTGCACTTATCCAGATAATCCAGACCCACAGAGGCATAAGTAAAAGTTTGACATTGGAGGAAAAAAATCAGAAAATGGAATTGGTGAAAACGTGCCCCCCCCTCAGTGAACAGAGGGCTGCTGGGAGTCACTGAAAACCACACCAGAGCCCCTGGTGTCCCGACCGACAGTGTTATATAACTTACATCACAGGAGGCTCGGGACAAAAATAGAGACTTTATCCCTTTGATTCTGGTGCTCATTGTTAAAATAAAATGAATTCAGGTGTTTTCATAACAAAGCAAGAAACTGCCACAAAAGAACCTGTGGGTCATTTACATGAAAGGCCATTATCTAACTGTTTTCATTTAAATTTACTGTGAATTTCATCAGAAAATGCAATGAATTAGTAAGTATGCATGAAATAAAAATTTGTCAAACTATTAAAGGGTTTTAAGGATATTCTTTCAACACATTTTTCTTTATTACAATGTGATGACCTTATCAAGCTGTATTCAAGGGCTGGAAGAAATCGTCAAACTCGATTTGTTGGCACAGGTTCTGAATGATTTACTGGAATTTATTAAGGACAAGTAAAGTTTAAAGCAAACAAAAAATTTTTAGTTTACCTATAAAACTCAGAATAGTTTTTATAATTCTAGTGGTCAGATTGTATTCAACAACTATTTGAGAGAGGCTTATTATTATACCATAAATTTATACTATTTTGGTTAGAAATTGATGCTGGCTGTGACACAAAAGCTCTGGAATAAGAATATGAAAGGCTAATCTCAAATTTACCTACAATATTTAAAGAAAAATGCTTATCTCAATATTTACATTTTTAAATATGTAAGTAACAAAATACAAATAGATTTATAAACTTTCTTTCTGAACCAATTTGAATCCTGAAATACTGAAACAATTCGATGTTACACTGGCATTAGTCATAATCTATACGGAGTTAGAATGAGTTGTAACCTAACTTAGTTAATTCTCAATTACCCTCTCTCATGGGAGGGGGGTTGGAAGCAAAGATAATTCCCAAATAATTATTTTCTTTGAAATACAATATAAGTTTTATTTTCTTTTCTTCTTTTTGTTTTCTATTTTCTCTTCCCCATCAGATTTAGTTTCATGATGTTTGAATCAATTCAATTCATCAATTAATTTAGCAGCTTATGATTATAGTGTGGATTGACCACAGCCAATAGTGTGCTAGTAAACTGGCTTTCCTGGAAAAGACGGCTGATTTGTAGTGTTTGCCAATTTCTATGATATTAATACTCTTATCATGCACACTTTCAAGGGACCAAAGGGATTTAACAGAATGGCAAGTTGGGAAGAAATGTACAGAATTAGCTGTGGGAAGCCAAAAAAGCTAGCTCCAGCGTGCCCTGACAGCGTGCTAAACATCTTCAAAGTATCTTCTAATCATTTATAATCTCTAGGTATATGGAAGAGCTGACTGGTCTTCTGATATTAAACCGGCCAGGATTTAAATTAAACTCAACATCTCATTAACAGATTGTGTGCAACTGTGCGAGCTTCTAGCAGAGCTAACCGAGATTAAAGATGGGCTGCAGGCTGAGAGGTGGACAGTCTAGTGTGCGGAGAGACACTGGGGACAGGACATAACCGGAAGCCAGGCCACAGCAGCACACGGGGACCCCAGGGCTGGTATCACGAGCTGTCCTCACTTTCAGGCACCGAGAAGCAAAGGCGCACAGTGGTGCCTTTACTCTGTGCCTGCACAGATGGTTCCAGAATTAAGCACTTCCAGTATGTGCCTGCATACATGATTACAGAATTACGGACTTCTAAAATGTCTGTACATGGAACACCTATCACTACTTCATGCCCAAAAATAGTTCAAATTTAAAAGGTAATCTTAAAAAAGTAATTGCTCATTATAATTATATCATATTGATATGTCAAAGGCAGATTAGAGACAGGGAAAGCTGATTTGGGGATTTTTTAAATTGAGCACAACTGACAAAAAATGAACATTTCTGTGTTTGCCCTAGAGGTATCAATTAACACTGTATATATAAGTAACAGATATTACACCTGCTCTAATTTACGTCTCTAGATATTTTTAGGTGTAACTTTTAAACGTCAAAGTTTATTTTTTAAACAGTATTTCTTCTTTTTAACTTAAAAAAAAGATTTTCTTTATTTATTTTTAGACAGAGAGTAAGGGAAGGAGAAAGAGAGGGAGATAAACATCAATATGTGGTTGTCTCTTGTGCACCCCCAACTCAAGACCTGGCCTGCAAACCAGGCATGTGCTCTGACTGGGAATCGAACTGGTGACCCTTTGGTTTGCAGGCTGGTGCTCAATCCACTGAGCCACACCAGCCAGGGCTAAACATTAAACTTTAAAAATTAAATGGGAGGCCAACTCTATCAAGAAAAAGCTAGTAACAACACAAGGTCTGTCCAGAAAAAGTCCAGCCATTGTTAATACAACAAGGATGGTTTGTGTGACATCAATATTACCTGGCAGCCAAGGAGTGTGGACAGGAATGTGCACGTGTAAACAATGACAACTTTATTGTACTAGTCAGTGGAGGCAGTAGATGCCATTGAGTGAGCGTGCGTACTGTGGCCATCACATTAAAAATGACTGAATGAGGAGAGCAATGAATCTGCATCAAATTTTGCATTAAGCTTGAAAATTCCTGTGCTGAAACTACTGGGATGATCCAGAAGGCCACAGCTATGGGCAACTGGTGAGTGATAGCTTCATCATGACAATGTGCCTGCTTATGCATCACATTGTCTTGTGCAGGGTTTTTTGGTGAAACATCAAATCACCTAGGCGACTCAGCTCCCCTAGAGCCCAGATTTGGCACCCTGGGACTTCTGGCTTTTTCCAAAACCAAAATCACTTTTAAAAAATATATATATTTTATTGACTATGCTATTACAGTTGTCCCAGTTTCCCCCCTTTATTCCCCTCCACCCTGCACACACTCTCACACCCACATCCCCCCCACCACCTTTAGTTTATGTCCATGGGTCAAACATGTAAGTTCTTTGGCTTCTACATTTCCTATACTATTCTTAACCTCCCCTTGTTTATTTTCTACCTACCATCTATGCTACTTATTTTCTGTACTTTTTCCCCTTTTCTTCCTCTCCCACTCCCCTGTTGATAACCCTCCATATGATCTCCATTTCTGTGGGTCTGTTCCTGTTCTAGTTGTTTGCTTAGTTTGCTTTTGTTTTTGTTTTAGGTGTGGTTGTTAATATCTGTAAGTTTGTTGTCATTTTGCTGTTCATATTTTTTATCTTCTTTTTCTTAGATAAATCCCTTTAACATTTCATAAAATAAGGGATTGGTGATGATGAACTCCTTTAACTTGACCTTATCTGAGAAGCACTTTATCTGCCCTTCCATTCTAAGTGAAAGCTTTGTTGGATAGAGCAATCTTGGATGTAGGTCCTTGCCTTTCATGACTTGGAATACTTCTTTCCAGCCCCTTCTTGCCTGTAAGGTCTCTTTTGAGAAATCAGCTGACAGTCTTATGGGAACTCCTTTGTAGGTAATTGTCTCCTTATCTCTTGCTGCTTCTAAGATTCTCTCCTTATTTTTAATCTTGGGTAATGTAATTATGATGTGCCTTGGTGTGTTCCTCCTTGGATCCCAATTCTTCGGGACTTTCTGAGCTTCCTGGGCTTCCTGGAAGTCTACTGCCTTTGCCAGACTGGGGAAGTTCTCCTTCATTATTTGTTCAAATAATTTTTCAATTTCTTGTTCTTCCTCTTCTCCATGTTGGAATGTTTAAAGATGTCCTGGAGGTTCCTGAGCCTCTCCTCATTTTTTTTTTTTTGAATTCTTGTTTCTTCATTCTTTTCTGCTTGAATGTTTCTTTCTTGCTTCTGGTTTACACCGTTGATTTGAGTCCCAGTTTCCTTTCCATCACTATTGGTGATTTTCCATCACTACTGGCATTTTCCTTTATTTCACTTAGCATAGCCTACATTTTTTCATGTAATTTGCGACCAAATTCAACCAATTCTGTGAGCATCCTGATCACCAGTGTTTTGAACTGTGCATCTGATAGGTTGGCTATCTCTTTGTGGCTTAGTTGTATTTTTTCTGGAGCTTTGATCCGGCAGAGAGCGGAGCAAGCACCACTGTTCCCTCTGGGACCCCTCCCCCACATACAGCATCACAACGCAGTGATGCGGGTTACCCTGCCTGGTGAACACCTACGGCTCCACCCCTCACCATGTAGCAGGAGTGGCAAGACCGAAAAAAAAATGGCCCAAGTAAAATCACCTTTGAAAGGGAAAAGATTTCAGGCCATCAATGAGATTCAGGAAAATACAACAGGCAGCTGACGGCAATTGGGAGAACTGTGTGAGGTCCCAAGGTGCCCACTTTGAAGGGGACTGAGGCATCATAGTCTGATGTTTCTTGTACCTTACATTTTCAATAAATGTCTGTATTTTTCATATTGCATGGCTTGTTACCTCCTGGACAAACCTTGTGTATATCTTTTACTATTTACTGAAAAGTTCTTTGTGGTAAGACTGACAGCCTTCTCTAAAAGTTCTTAAAAATTCTTAACAGAAAACACGCAGTAGTGTTTAGGCTACAGAACACAGCCTGTCTTTTACAATGACAGAGCCCTACTGGGAGCAGCATAATCAGAGTGGGGTGGTGGGAGCTGTCTCCGTGCAGCGATAAGGTGTGCGTCTCCATCCAGTTCAAAGCAGCATGGGTAACGGTCAGTCTGCTCTTTATTTTCCACACACTGACAACCCTAAACAATGTCAAGATGAAATATTCTTCCCTTCCTGGATTGACAGTTCCTACCACACCTGCTTCATACCCTGCCCTTCGCAAGCCACCCTGTTAAAGACGTGAGGGAAATTAATCGTTTAAGTCTGCCATAACTCTAAAGCATCAGCTATCTTTTACGAAGTTAAAAGTTTCAGCATTTCACGTAATATTGCAAGCTAAAGGTTAGAAAAACCTGTGAAACTACAAAATAGTATTTTCAAATTTTCTGAAAGTGATCCTTAAGTAAAAAATAACTTCTTTTCAAATTAATTTGGAAAGTCATGTTTTCTACAACAAGCAAGTTGTTTTAACGCAGACCATTTGTAGGCAATTTTGCAGTCTCTGCCAGCACAGCCGTTATATTCCAATAGACCATTTATAGATAAATACCCTTGCTTTGCTGGAGAAAAGGAGAATTATAAAACATAATGTTTGTTCCATCATTATGACTCTAAAATGAAGCGCAGACAAGATTCACAAAACGGCCAACAGCGTTTGGCTGTACCTCTGCGAGGTCTGGAAAGAGCGCTTGGCTTGTGTTCCGTCTCAGCGTGTCCCAGTAGCTTCTGGACACAAGTTCCTCAGCATCTGTTTTAAGTACCTGCAGAAGTTTTAAGAAGCACAACTGAAATCTAAGGAATAGTCACGAAGAACGATCATTTATACACTTTGAGTCTCTTCTAGCCAACCTTGAAAAGAAAACACATTAGCTTACCTTTTTTGTTTGCCGTTGCACACAACAGTATCATATGGCATGGCTGGTAAAGCCAGCGTATTTTCAAAGGTGTAATAGCGTATAACCAGTATTTCTAAGTGCTTTCTGGCTTTGTCAAAAAGAATCATATTCTTCAGCCCCTCCCCTATGCACTTCTACTGAAACATGTGTAACTTCTACGATGGGGTAAAATAAAAACTTTATTCACACTTTATGTGAAGTAAATTCATTTGCAGGATATCTGGGGAATTTTGTAAAAACCAATAAAATTCATGATTCAATTAAAATGAATTATTGCTGGCTAGCACACATTGTGTTAGTGCATCCAAGAGTCAAAACAACCATATCCACACTTTAGAGAAACAAACTTTAAATTAATCCAAAACTTGTCAAACAAAATAAGCCAATTTAAATCAAACTACTCAAAGCTACTCAGGGATTTGATAGGTGTGTCTTTTGTGAACAGATAAGGTACTTTCTAATCTCTTACAAGGACAGAACTCTAGCTTCTACCTCAGTCGTTGACTAGTCTGAAGAAAGTGATATCAAGGTGAAGAAGTGCTCTAATCTTCATATGAAAATGCAGAACTATACACTCAAGAGTTTACAGAGTCTCTAAACCTGATAACTTAAACTTACAAGTTCATAGAGCCTCAAAAAAATTAAATGCAAGTTTCTGTAAGGATTTATCAGGAAGATTGCACAGGTTCTTTCACTTATTGTGGGAAAAAAGCACTGCACGATACACTTAGGAGTGCGTAGCTGATTCTGCAAAAACTTTGATTTTTGTGTGTGTTATTAAAAGTCCGATGCCACTAAAAATTATAATGCATCTGAGAATTATTTCAACCACCTAAGTTTCAGTGCATTATTAACTAGAAAGCACTGCCTATTGCCCATATTTTAATAATATCTTTAAATATGTTAATATAGTATTATTTAACAGGAATCATATAACACAGACATATTTATTACTATAAGTGTAAATGTAACAATATGACAGAGAATCCACTCATTACCCCTTTTTATAACTAAATAAGCTTAAACTAACAGTTATAAGCTAAATAAGTAAAATAAGCTGAATACAGAACTAACATAGTTCATTTTCTCTTAGACAGGAATGGTGGAACCTCAATAAATGATAGCTAGATGAAATACTCTGCAAGTATTATCTAAATATTTTAAACATGGATAAAATTTTAAATTGTATTAGAAGGTTAGTACATGCAAAACAAAGGGATTATCAAATCTGTCAAGCTAGAAAATGAGGCTGACTATGCTGCTATTAGGAGGGTGACAGGAATGATGCGCTTTGTGAAGCCATGCCTCTTCCCTATTGCCAAACACCTGTCCCCGCCAATCACACACACGTGCACATGCATGCACATGCATGAGCACACACACAAACACTGATGACATCAGAAAAATTATTTAGAACTTATTAAGGGATACAATTAGTTTTGTAAACCTTAGTGACATGATTCTCTATAAAAATACATTTTCTGTGTATAGAAAAGAGGTCAATATACTCCTATATACTGATTACCTCTGAATGGTGCCGTTAAAATACTTTTTTATTTTCTTCTTTTTGTATTTATCTATCAGGATAATATATAACTTTTTAAAATAAAATAAGTTATTTAGATCATAACATCGTAATAGCCTTCTCTTACAGAAAGCTTTCCCACTTTTTATTTAGCTCCAAAGATTAAATTATGCTAGAATATATAACTGAATTGCTGCAATTATCCTAAAGAGTGTTTTAAATTATGTCAGTTCTCACAGAAGGGACAGTATTCTCACAGCTACTACTGTCACACCTTGCCTTAAGTAAATATATGATTTACGACTTACAAGATAATATAGTTAATACATCAGTGACTTTCTGGCACACAGATTCCTATTATGTGTGCCTGTCCAAAAGCCAGTACTTAATTATTTAATTAATGACTTCGATGATATAATTAAGAGTAAAATTTCAGAACATGCAAAACTAGCAGGAATCTTTTTAAAAAAGATTTCATTTATTCATTTTTTTAGAGGTGAAAGGAAGGAGAAAGAGAGGGAGAGAAACATCAATGAGTGGTTGCCTCTCGAGCATCCCCTACTGAGGACCTGGCCCGCAACCCAGGCATGTGGCCTGACTGGGAATCGAACCAATGACCCCTTGCTTCACAGGCCAGCACTCAATCCACTGAGCCGCACAAGCCAAGGCAAAAAACTAGTAGAAATTTTTAATACCAGACAAATATAATAGGATGCCCTGGCTGGTGTAGCTCAGTGGATTGAGCGTGGGCTGCAAACCAAAGCATCACAGGTTTGATTCCCAGTCAGGGCACAAGCCTGGGTTGCAGGCCACGGCCCCCAGCAACCACACATTGATGTTTCTCTCTCTCTTTCTCCCTCCCTTCCCTCTCTAAAAATAAATAAATAAATAAATCTTTAAAAAAAAGAAAATCAGAAAATGAAATTAAGATTATATAAAAAAAAGGGTGTTTAAAATAAATTTAAGGTAGCCATACAAATCAGGATAGACTTTAATAGCAAGGCATGCAAAGCAAATACAAAATCAGAACATGCGCATGCAGGCTATGGAAAGACTGACAGGGGAACATGTCCAAATACGGCTGAGTAATGGGATGGCTAGGAAATGTTATGATATGTAGAAAAATTGGCAAGGACTTCCTTCAGTCTTCTTAGTGTCTTTGATGACTCTGTGAGCTTTAGGTCTCCCTGCCAACGTGTCAGGTAGGTGTGGACCTTCATTCAAAGAGGAAAAAGATGTAGATAGTTCAGAAGAACTGTAAAATGAATGGTACAAGCAAAATGATGTCACAAATGTACTGTATTCTGTAAGCCTGATAAATTTTCAGGCTAAGTTTAGAACTTGTTGTTAGTAGAACTTCCTTAAACTTTGCAGTTTGAGTAAAGAATTCCTAATGACTGGCTGAGCCAAAGCATGCTTCTATGCAAGGCATTCCATGGCATTTATGATGGAAGGGAGGAAGGACGGAAGGAAGGAGAGAAGGTGGGAGGCAAGGAAGGAAACAAGGAAGGGAGGAAGGGGGGGACCTGTGTAGAGAGGGAGGAAAGGGCAAGCCATGGTCTGAAAAATTTGTATGTTGAAACCCTAACCCTCAAGGTCATGGTATTAGGACAAGGTGGGGCCTTTGCAAGGTGATTGCGTCATGAAAGTAGAGCCTTCATGAATGGGATTAACTTTTATAAAAGAGGCCCAAGAGGCTCTTTTGCCCCTTTCCAACCATGTGAAGACACAGCAAGAAGGTGCCGTCTCCGAACCAGGAAGCAGGCCCTCATCAGCCACCACACTGAATCTGCTGGTTCCATGATCTTTGAGTTCCCAGCTTCCAAAGCTGTGAGAAATGTTTGTTCTTTATAAGCCATCCAGTTTATGGTAGTTGGTTAGAGCATCCCAAATGGACTGACAGAGGGAAAGAGGAAGGAAATAAGAGAAGGAAGAAAATTAAGATAAAAGGAAAGATGAAAAGAGTTAGAAGAAAAAGAAGACTGATTTAGAGATGGGAATATATCCTGTCCAGACCCTAAATACAGTTAGGGTCTGAGAATGGTTATATTCAGAGATTGGGCAAACTGTGAAAAAAATAAACAACCAAAATAGCAGCCCATAGAATCAGACAGTAAAGTGTCTTTACCTTAGTGATATTTAAAAATGCACAGAGAAGAACATAAGACTTTGTCATCTGTGCCACTATGACAACCGTGGACTGAAATAACTACAATCTGAGAATTGTAACTTAAACTTAATGGAACGGCAGTTTTCCCCAGTATATAACAGAAACAGAAACACACATAAATATCCACACACAGAAAACCTTCACAGGGAAAATACACCCTTAACAGAGTCCTTAAAGAATCTACGCAGAAGCACTCCAACAAATATGTGCTCACAATACAAAATTACTAAATGTAAAATAATATAAGCTACCATCAATGAGAACTAGAAGAAACAAGCAATAGAGCTAGACCTGCAGACTTCAGATATTCAAATTATTAGATATAGAATACAAAATAAACTTATTAAATTTATAAAAATGAAGCTGTTTTTGAAAGGATTTTTCAGACTACCAAAAACAGACTACCAAAAAAGTATTAGGCTGATTAGAAAAAGAACCAAATAAAATGTCTGGAAATGAAAATTGGAACCACTAAAATTCAATATCATATCATATATATGGTTGGAGAGAGAATTAGTAAACTGGAAGATAATATGAATAAATTATACTGAATACAATGTGAAAAGATAAAATATGGCAAATTATTAAATTCAAGTTTAGAGACACAGAAGAGAGCATGAATATTTGTGAAAGCTTCAGAAAGTAATAATAGAGAAATGGGAAGAGATAATATTCAGAGAGATATTTGCACTAAATATTCAATAATTAATATAAACAATCATATTTGAAAAGCACAATAAATTTCATGACAGATAAGAGCAAACAGAGATATACTATTAGTAAAACTGTAGAATACTGAAGGCAAACAAAATCTTAAAAGTAGTCAGAAAACAGCTCATCTAAAAAAGAACACTAATTAGACTCAGAACTGACTTCAAATTCAACAAAAGAAACCAGAAGCCTGAAATGATATAATTTGCTGAGAATAAGTATCAACCTACAATAATATATCGAGTGAAATTATCTTTCAAAATAAAGGCATATATAGACATATTGAATCCTTATGTTGTGCACCTGAAACTAACATAATGTTTTGTGTCAATCATACCTCCATCAAAAAGAAGTTGAAAAGAAAACAGTGAAGTCACAGAAACAGAACAGAGTAGTGGTTGCCAGAGGCAGGCGGCAGGGCAGGGGTGGGTGAGTGAGTGAAGGTGGTTGAAAAGTAGAAACTCCCAGGTACAAGATAAATAACATACTGTACAGCATGGTGACAACAGTTAACAATACTGTAGTGTATACTGGAATTCACTAAAAGAGATCTTAAAAGTTCTTATCACAAGAAAAAAACATTTGTAACCATGTGAGGTGATGGATGTTAAGTAAATTTATTGCTATCTATACAGATATCAAATTATATATTTTGCCTTAAACTAATACAATGTTACATGTCAATTATATTTTAATAAAACTTGGGGAAAATAAGGGCAAAGTAAAGCTATTTCCGGAAAGAGGGTTTTGAAAAATTTACCAAAAGACCCTCACTTTAGGATATAAGAATGGGTGAGATTAAAGAGGGAATTAATGAGTAAGAAATGGCAAATATGTAAGCAATCCTAAACAAATACTGATGGTATATATTTAATAAGTCTAATTTGTGGTGTTTAAAAAAAAGACAAAGACAAACATTGTGCAATGGTGAGTACTCATGCAGGGAGGGGAATGAAAGAAATTACAGCACTTTAAGAATCTATTTTTAAGGAAGAGAGTAAGGATATGGCCTAATCTAAGACTGTATTACTTTAAGTACACTTATTCAAGTTTCAAGAATATAGAGGAAATAGAATGGAATGTTTTCTAAATGAATACAGAGAAAAAAAAGGAAGAAAGAAAAAAACTATTTAGAATGTCTTAAATGAATCCAAATAAATTCATAATCACAGTAACGTAAATTAACTGAATTTTCCAATTAGAACAGATAAAAGGAACCAATAAAATACACAAAATATACTTTTAATAAAGGTAAACAAAATCTTAATAGTAGTCATGGAGAGGAAATATAAAGAGAGAGGTTGAAAAATATAAGGAAAGAGAGAGGTTGGAAAGGATGTATGAGGCTTTTATAAATGACAGGCTGGAGATAGCACCAGTCTTCTCACTGAGAATAATGGAAAAAGCTGGACAAAATATAAAACAGGTGTCTCCTGCAAAGCATCTTGAAGATAGCACTTTGCCCTTGGTACCGTGTTGACTCTCGCAATGATGTTGCAAAAGCAGCAGTGGGTAAAAGTTCTGAAGCCTTAGTATATGGACAGCAGGAGCACCAAAGACCAAAGCGATCACGCTCTTCAGTTCCCCCTACTCACATTAAAAAAAAAAAAAAAACAACTTTCACTTATGGTGTACTTGCTGAAGAGTAAACTTACAATTTTGTTGAACTGACCTTTGAGCACACGTCTTTTCAGTGTTCGGTGTGATAAAATGGGAAGCACACACTTCTGCCTACTGAAGTAATGTGGTTGTCTTCAGAAAAAACATTTGTGTGATGGTTTGTGCTAAAAAGAGAAGTAGTCACTTCTTTCATGAACAACCATATTTACTTGAAAGAAAAGCTCACAGACCAATATGGCTGTTCAGACATTGGGGTCTGGCAGACCTGTTTTTTGAAAGTGAACCGAGTGAGCCTGCCACTCCAAGAGAAACCACTGATCGTGTTTGTTGCCAAAATACTCTGCAACAGACGGAATGCAGAAGCAGCTGTGAGAAACCAGCTGCCTTCTATGAAGCCAGTACATTAAAGGGATTTGCAAAGATGTAATATACCATTGTCCTCACTACCTTTTTGGAGTTATTTTCCATAAAACATTTGTTAATGTGTGTTTTTTATTTAAAAATGGACTAATAAATATTTCTAAATTTCTCAGTTTCAAGTTCTAATATAATAAATATAGACAGACATAACCAACATAAACAGAAGTTCCTTTGGGTCCTCGATAATTTTCAACAATGGAAAGGGGCTCTGAAGACAAAGTGTCTGAGAACTGCTGCACACAGCAGTGAAAGTGTATGAACTGGGGTCAGATACAACGAAGATTAGGGACTTGTCAACCATGTGTTGAGTCAAAGAAGCAAAACAAGGAGAAACTCATATGATATGATCCCACTTATCAGAGTTTCAAAATGGGGAAGACTGTATTATATTACTTATGGTGCATAAGTAGGTGGTAAAACTACAAAGCAAAGGAGTGACTTACACAGAAGTTATGACTGTAGTCATCTTCGGGGGAAGAGGAGAAGACTGTGGTTGGAGAGATGTGTGAGGGGCTTTCTGGGGAACGGAACTGTTTATTTTTGACCTATATGGTGGTTATACTCTTATTAGTTATTTTATTTGCAGTAAATTTATGAACTAAAATATATTTTAAAAATCAGGAAAAGCTTCATCATCACTAGAGGAAAAAGTAGAAAATAAAAAAACAAAACAATAAAAATAAAGGTAGGGGATGGGGTAATAAGGGAGATAAATGGTAATGGAAAATAAAATAAAACACTTGATTTGTAAAAAAATACAAATAAAGGTAGTAAATTTATTCTAACAACAAAACAGACTTTAAAATGAAAACACGCCATGCAAACCTGATCACTAACTCTGCATGACACTGCAGAAGAGAGGGAAACCAGGTTTGCTACAGTAACTGTGGTGACAGAGATGCGTTAGCCTCAGAAGCTACTGAGGTGGCCCATTTTATCCTTGAACAGTGTAAAAACACGTCTAGATATCTAGGGATAGTATATAATACAAGACTCAATTCACTATAAAGATACAAGTAATTTATATTCTTCGATAGAAAATAACAATGTTCTAAAATATGTAAAATAAAAAGTGAGGATTATAAGTAGAAATTGACAACTATATCATTGTAATGTATAATTTAACACACTTATGACAGGTCAGATCAAACAGACAAAAACATTAATAATGATAGAGACTTGAAACACATAATTAACATGTTTGATCTAATATATATGTGTGTGTTTTAAGATAGAATCTTAAAAATATAACCCTGTACCCCAAATTAGAAAATACACAGTTTTTCAAACATAGATCATTTATAAATATTGACATTCTTTTAGTCCCTAAAAGAAGTCTCAATACATGTCAAAAAATTGTATAAAAACAGTACATTTTCTGACCACAGTGGAAATAGGGTAATTCAGATAATCTTTAAATACTTTAAAAAGTCACATAGGGCATGCCAAAATCAAATATACCTGACTTTTGCATTATTTAGTCTTTTGATTTCTTAATATTTCTTTTCAATATAGTGGTAAGACAATCAAGAGCTGGCTGGCTATATGAGAAATATGAAAATAATCAGGGTTGTTTGAAACAGAAAAGGTTGTACGGTAATGTTTCACGAATACTGAAGCAAGAAATAGAGCAAAAACAATAATCTGACTGAACACAGGCAGAATCTAGTGCAGCAGTGATTACATTCTGGAACAGGTTACCACAGAGGACACAGAATCTCGATCTCTGTAGTAAAAGTCAAGAGAGCCTCTGCTTTTACCGAGGGACTTCTTCGTAAAAGTAGAAGCTCAAGTTATATTCAGCTCCATGAACTGTACTCACATTAAATACTTTATCCTCCAGTTGATCTAGAGCTCTGTAAACTAGTAGATAATGACCAGTTAATTCATAACATTATACTAATATACTTGTGCCACAAACATGCCAATGATATTTCATACAAATTTTCTGGCTGTTTGAATTTTTTCTAAATTTAAATAAATTTTCCTTGTTTTCCTCCATTTTTTGAAAATTATTTATGAGTTTAAAGGAAAACTACAAATTGCCACAGCTGGAAAATGGCTCATGCAATGACATATTTGATTAGAAAAATAAATAATGAAGTTGTAAGTATTAACATTTATTAGCATTCACAAGGCAGATAGCGTTATAATCTATAAGATTTTTCTTTCATATTCTTATAAATTTTTTAAATGATTAAGAGGAAGCTTTTTAAAATTTTAAGAAAATGGCAAACCATATTTAATGACAAACAGAAGTCAATTTTGTAGAAAAATATTTTAAGTTACACTGTAAGGGATCAAAATAACTAGTCCGTCATATGGGTCCTATGGACTTGGCCTGTTCTCCACCAGCTCATTCTAGGTCCATCCCTGTGACTTTGGCAAGATATCGCAGGTTTATTCTATGCCGAATCAGCCTCCAGGATATGCACATCTAGAATGGAGCCTGGACTTTTGATTAGTCAATACCTGAGGCAGCACAGCTACTTACAGAGCTGCACACTAACTGACACCTTTAGCAGGTGAGTCAGTTACCAGAATTCAAGGCCTTCTCTCAGGTGGAATTTGTATCATTTGAGGGATCTTTCTAACCTTGGGAAAATTAAATGAATTGTGCGTGTTTACATTCAAAAGGGGCCCAGCCTACTCTTTGTTGTTTAGTAGCTAGGCTACCCAACAAGCTCAACTTTCCAGCAGAGAGGAAAGAAGGAGAAAGCTTAGCATAAGAAGAGTACATTTGAAAGATCATTTACCAAACTCCCAACTTTGTCAGGAAAAGAAGAGTCTGACTATTATAATCCTCTTTGAGAAATAACATGATATATTAAGCTATCAAATATCACCTTATACCAGACTTGTGTATACACCATAGGCAGTAGGCAGGCATCAAAGGTTTTAGAAACACATTGGGAAGAAGTACTGAAAACTAAGAAAAGGCTATCCATTACCATACCTCTCTGTTAGAACTGAGAAGAGAATGTATATCAGACAGGCAGATCTAGTTCTTCAAACACCTGTGTTCTGCCGGCGCAGGGGCTGAAAATCTGCTCCACACTTTGTATTTAACTCCTCGAATACTGATGAAAATTACACAATTTCAATTGTTCTACCAGAGGTTTTGGTTGCTGCTCACTCAGCTTTACTTTAATTTAAAGTTAAAGATATATAATTACTCTGTAAATTTTAGTCTTCTCATAAATCTAGGAAGGAGACAAAAAATTTTGGCTTGGTTGTATCCTGTTATATCCAGGAAGTTCTTAAACATTTTCAGTAGCAGGTACAGCTTTATACAACAAAGTTACATGATCAGGTATAACAGGGGAGGGCTATTCACATAAAGAACATTGAAAGTATTGTACATACACTATTAGTAGGTGAATGGTATCCATACAGTTGAAGACGCTGACACAGAGCACAAAGGGCCAAATGAAGTGTCACATTTCAGAATGAACCCAAGTATAGGCAAAGAAAAAAAGAAAAAGACGACAAAATAATCAATTAGGAAGGGCAAATCATTATGCTACATTCTATATATAGAGCACACATACAAGTGAGGTAAATGTTAAAGATGAGTAGCAAAGTTTTTCAAATCTCATTAATTAAACATTAAATGAATTTGTGCTCGTTTCAACCATTTTTATTGTAACTTTACGACAGACCTACTGCTTTGAGCAAAACATGTTCCTCCAAAGTTTATGATTTTATTTCAATACACCTCAGCAATTCTCTGTGGGGTGGGGGAAATCCAGAGGGGCAGCACGGCAGTGGAAATGGAATAAGAGACCTGCGGTGGACTCTTGCTCTGCTCGTGTTAGTGCCACGTCCTTACACAAGTTAACGCATCTCTAAGACTGTGATTTATCTGCACAGCAGGCATGGTACTTACCTGGGGGAAACATGACGACTGAGCAAAAGGGACCATTTATAATGGTCGTAGCACAGAAGCAGAGTTAGTTTTGTCTGGCATGTAAATATTTTAAAATTTAGTTTTGATTTAATTTTGACTTCGGTATGTAAATAAATATTTGGTTCAAGTAGCTACATGGTTCTACTCATTCCTCTTTGCGTGTTTACTGTATTGCACACACTGTTAAGTGGCTACACATTTCAGCTCAGCAATCACACGTGATCATTACTCCCATCCTCTCCTCCGTGAAAATGAAGAAACTGAGCCCCAGAGATGTTAAGGACCTTTTTCAAGATCACCCAGGTAATGAAGGGTCAAGCTAATATTGGAACCCTGAAAATCCGGCTCCTGAGCCTGTGCACTGTCTCTCTCATATAACCCATATATTTTCACTGTACATTTTAATGGCTTTGAAGCTCAAAAGTCTCATCAGTTCACATCTGCATTATTTAAAAGTGATGGCTATTAACAATAAGCTACCACTAATTGACTTTATCATTACACATAGTAACACATATTTGTAGAGAGCTGTGTTATCCTAGAATGCTAACACCGTTTTGAGAAGTAGTCTGACCATTAAATTAAGTAAATGAGATTTCAGGAGCACTAAGTAAACTATGTCAGATAAATTCGTGGGAGGTCCCTGTGGAGATCAATAATTTTAGTGAGCATTCTTTCCCATAGAAACAAGTTATATATTACTTCTAAGTTTTTTTATTTGTTCTTTATTTTTTTAATTTTATTACTTGCAGGTTTTTAAAAAATTTTTATTTTAATTGTTTTTCGAGTACAGTTCTCTGTTTATTTGTTCTTTAAAACAAGTCTTCTTCCCCATATAACTGCCAGGAAAAGCTTCATTGAGCATTGGGCATATAAAATAATAGACTTTGGGGTATGCTTACATAATTTAGATGTCATAATTGAGGCAGACTTTCCCTAAATCATCCAAAGTTAATGAGGTTTTCTTACGTCACTATTACAGACAGTTCATATTTAATTAGAATTCAACTTACTTTACTTGGGCTACAATGAAGTTCAGAGCCAAGTTTTGTGCTGACTCTGTAGGTTTTTCCAGTGTAGGTTGTCTGCTATTATTTCTCCCTTTCCTCTCTCCCTTTGTTACTTGACTTACATATTTTAGTAAATGTTAATGATTAGAATAGAATTTATTGTACTTTTACTGGAAGATCCATAAGTCCTTTCTGGAAGTAGTATAAATAAACAAATAAATAAAAGTTAAATTTCTATCCACTAAAATACAATCTACTTTATCATTAAGGTACATCAAGATTAATTAATATAATTCAACCTCCCAAGTGATATTTTATTAACAACTTGTCTACCCAGTCAATATAGCTGTTAACCTATGAAAATTAAAATAATTGTTTACTTGTTGAATATATTAAATCATCTACAGGAAATAAAACTTATGAAGGTATTTAATTTTCTAGTGTTATTTGCTAATAACCTAAGAATTGCATTTATGGGGCTAAATCACATAGAATTTATTGATTACAATTTGAAAATAAGACCTGAATTAGAGAACTCTCAATACCCTTTTAATACTCATAATCAAGTCTTTTGATTTTTTTTGAGTGCCTTCCATAAGCTTTGTCAATTAGTATATTGGGGGTAGTTCAACAAACACTGATATATCATAGTCAATATCCCATGAAATAACATGTATTGTATAACCCTGATAACCTGCTTTTCTTAATATAAATATGAATACACACTTATACATCTGTTGGGATTGAATATGGCACCCATCCTCTACAGATAATCCATGTTTTTAAAAAACCTAATATATATGTTTATAACAATGAGGAAAAAAAATGTTGTAACTCCCGGAAGTTAGTTATTTGAATTCCTGGTAGACCAATACAAATCACTGATTTGCAAATGAAACAATTATCATTTACATGCCGACAAACTTCACTGTGTTTCTGCTATTTAAGTACTAGATGAAGAAATATGCCACAGTGGGTAAGAGTGTAGATTTTGGGGCTAGCAAGCCATGGGCTCAAATCTTGGCTTTGTAACTTAATAGTTACATAATTTTGGACAAGATATTTAACCTTTCCAACTATCAACTTCCACATCTGTAATCATAGGTAACAGGAGAATCGCTGGGTAGATTAAATGAGAAAATGCATGCAAAGCATCTAGTATAGAGCCTGACAGGAAGGTCTCAGAACTGTTATCTTTTATTATGTGAACCTGGGATGTTTCAGGTTTAAATACCTGGGGCAAGCAAAAGAAAACTGGTAGGAAAATGGAGTGAAATGCTGCTTAAATCCACCTTCAGAGTAAGATGAAAAAACATCATCCCAGAAGAGTCTATAATACATACTTCTAAGAATGCAAAAAAAATTATTTCCTTGTTTTTGCTTCAACATTCATATTGTTACAGCACCACTAAATTCACTCTTATATGTAATTAATCTTTGCAATTCACCTTTAAATTTTTATATGCATAATGATCTATATTAATCTATAATATGATACACCCTTCAAATCTCACGGATAACAACACTATGAATAAAATGATTTCATGAATGTAATTATGGATACAGATATTTAATATCAATATTTGATATAAATATTGATATTGATGCATATCAATACTGAAGCAATTTTTCTACATAAGAGCTTTAAAAACTTTTCAAGAAAGGGACCGCTCTAAACTTACAGATTTAATTGTTCTCAATATGAATGATTCTTATCTGGAAAATTCACCAAAAACTATAAATTATTCTTACCAGCATTGCACGCTTTTCTTCATCTCCTTTAGCTTCTCTCTTTTCATTTTTTTTCCTGAATATCTCTTGAAGCTAAAAAGGAAACCACTGAAGAATCAAGTACCAAGCAAGAGTTTCAGGGCACCTACCCACCACCTTACACCAACTAGGTGCAGTCTTAAAACAAAGGAAATAACTGGTTTCATCTATACATAACATTAAAGTATTATATATATTTTTTCTAATGTCAATTTTTTCCCTGAGACAAAGAGAATACATCCTTTGGCATTAGCAACCCACGGTCACGTGAAATATACAAAATTACGGCAATATGTGATCTCTAAGACACAGAGACACGGAGCTTGTGGCACACACACAAAAGAGGTGAAGCCTGCTGGGGTGTACAGAACACTGGAGTAGGACCCAGGGTCTCTGGGTTTGAGCCCACCTTCTGGAGAAAAATATGGAACAGACATTTTGCCACAGAAGGAGGTACAGAAGTATATGGGTAAAAAGAGACTGCAAAATTCTGGAAGGCAGGGTGGGGGTGGTAAGACAAACCAGGTCACCAGACCAGCACCAATGCTGGCCCAGTCAGATGAGCAAGATCAAAGGACAAACACCTACAAGCAATCCTACCCCTCCCACTTTAGAGCAGCCTTGGGTCAAAGCCAGGGGAAGAGAACAGGAAAATGGGGACAAGACTGGGGTGCAGGCAGGAATGGGTGAAAGTGAGCAGGAGGAGCGACAACCAGAACCCCAGAGAGAGAAGGGAGAGAGGTGTTCCTGCCACACAGCTGTGACTGGGTGGCTGGCAGGGTGGGGACGGAGGGCTGACTGGGCACCTGTAGCACCTCAGGGCGCACGTCAGCCACTCAACAGAAAATCCTGGACACATTTCAAACTTCCAGAAAATGTGTAATCAACTATAATCATCTTTATACACTAAATGTAATTTATATTTTTACAATGCAAAAATTATTTCAAGTACATGAGCATACACTTCTTCATTAAATTAAGGTGAAAGCATAACATTTTCACTTCATTCTACAACACTATTTAAAATAATGCAAAAACATAAAAATAGAAGCAACAGTGAATTATTGACAAAACTCAGCACATAATATACATACCACCAAAAACTCCTTTTTATCTACCATCTCATTGCCATCGGTGTCGAACATGTTGAAAGCTATTCTAAAACCTGCATGCGGCTCTGCCAGAAAAAACAGAAAAGTATGTATGAAACAGGAAATGATTTTAAAGTACAAAGTCCCTCTGTAAACAGATACTTATATTTGGTACAGAGATATCTTCCTTAACCAACAAATTGAAAGCAACATGTTACTATAAAATATAATAAAAGCTGTACATAAGTATGCACATTTGTGTTTCATATATTAGCATACTTAGTAGCAGAATGGATAATATACTTTAAAAACACTATGAGATACTTGTTGCATAGCACTGACAGTAAAATTTGACTACTTTTTTTCCAAAAACAAATATGGCACAAGGAACTAGTCCAAATTCTGGGGAAAATTATAATGGAAATGACCTATCAAAATAAATATCACACACAGGAGATTACATATTTGGGTTTAAACTTTTAGAGTTTTCAGAAATAGAAATATAAAATAAGAGGCTTAAATAATTAATTCCTAATTCTCCCCAAAATACAAGGAACAATTACTTTTCTGAAAAGGACAGACTTTCACTCATTATGAACTGCTTTAATTTTACGAACCCTACAATGAGGTTCAATCTTTTTTCTCTTTCTACTTCTAAAGCATAAAGAAGAAACCTTGGCCACCGGAAAACCTGAACATGTCATTAGAGGAGGAGGAGCTTGGTGTCCACATCTTTCTCAACACGTTTGACCTCTTTTGGGATGATTGGCAAAAAGTTCAGAAAGGGACCTCCCACACGCACACTTGCCACTGACTGTTGTGACATCTAGAACCTAGCAAAAGGGAAGCGTACAGACCCACTCTCTTAACTGGTAATAGCTGTCTCTGCAAATAAAGGAAACAGAAGCCCATCTTGTATGCAAGTTCATTTCTTGCATGTATGTTAGGAATCTAAACTTATTTTCATTATTATTCATTTGAGAAACAAAGAAAAAGTTACACCACCTCTGACAACTCAGTTTTAGGCTTTAGAAAGTTCATGAAAATATATGTAGATAAGAAGTCCTTACAAGCCTTGTTTGGAAGGAAAAATAAAGTTAAACTAATAAAAAATTAAGAGGAGAAAACTATAGACAAGTAACACAAATTATCTAACCTACATCTTGCCTATCCTCTTTGCACATTTTTTTTTTTGGTTTTAAACTAAATGACATCCATAATTTTAAAATTCAAACTCTCAGAAGTTTCTAAGAGGGACCCTGGACTCTGAAGTGGAGCCACAGCATCCCCACGTCCTTCCCCTTCCAGAGCAGGCAAAGGCCACCCTGTGTGTTCGTTCTCTCCAACACCCTCACACTCCACTCGACCCTACCTCGACCCATGACTTCCTTAGCCAGTTCTGTTTCAGACTCACCTATCACCTACTGGTTTAGGTATTTATAACTTGGAATTTTGCATCCAAAGTTATCCTGGCTAAAAAAAAATAACTTTTTAACAAGTCTCTGAGATACTCCGGTATCCCCTCTAATTTTTGTGGTAGCATCATTCATCATTGAAAGGACTCAAATCATCACAGTTCTTGTTTCCAAATATCTGTCTCCACAAATCCCCACAATGGGGAATTCCACTACCGATATTCTTTCATTCATGCCGTTCTTCATTCATTCCCCAACTATGTTTTGAGAGGCTAACATATGTCAAACACTGTTCTTGATACAGAAATGGACAAAAAAGATAAAATCTTTACCATCAAGGACCTTGCATTCAAATGTGGAGAGACAGACAAGAACATGTAAACCAATAAATAAATAAATGCTTTCATGTAGTTTAAGCACTGAAGAAAACAGAACACCGTAAAGGGATACAAAGGAGGAGACGAGAGAGGGAGCTATTTTAGACAGGATGGTCAAGGAAGGATTCCCTGCGTCTTCACATGTCGAAGGAAACCTGAGTGATGTTTACGAGCATGAGGATGTGGAAGGCAAGCACCGATGCCAGAGGGAGCAGGAGGTCCACATTTCCGAGGTGGGAATAAGGGAACGGAAAGGTCAGGCAGCTGGAGTGTAGCTACTCCACCATTAGATGCAATGAAATTTAACTAAAAACCTCAGTAAACCCTTCACATAGTTCATAAGAATTGCTGCATATCAGAGGAAGAGAAAAATGAAGCTGTTTGAGGATGTATGATGGGTATTCCGACAAACTTACTAGTTAAAAGAGTCATTCTTTCACACTAATTTTACAGAAAATGTGATTTAAATGAGGGTAGCAAGAAATTTACAAATCATTGTATGTCCTCACCTTTAGGCTCTCATGCTGATGAACCCACAGGGATTGATATATGATATTAAATTTATCGTTTATGAGCATTTTCCTACTATACTGTGAGCCATAGTAATATTTATGATTTTGACATGATATGCCACACTTAGCATTTTCTGTGGTCATTTAGACATAAATTTTGCAAAAAGCATGGACAGACCTAAAGTGATTTTCAATAGAAAGAGAATCTAAGAAAGGTTTGTTTTCTAAAATTCTAATTAAAAAAATTACATTCAGAAATACATTTAGTGAGTACACTTACTTGTTAAAATACACAAAAGAAAAAGATATTCTGTGTAAGAAATCACACCTAGAAGAAAAACAGTGCCAGTTATGCTATATAAAAAATACTTTTTCTTCATATTTATCAAGTAAAATATTCTTACAATAGCAATAAGTAATACTAATAAAGAACTTACGGTTTTAAAGAAGATGGTATTGTTTTAAATGAGACCAAACTTATTATAAAATCATAGCAAAAAAAGCAACAAAATTAATTTTACTTTCATTGTTTCACATGTTTCTATAGAAACCCATATAAAATTCTCATTAATGCTTTTGGATATATGTAGTATTGGCAATAAAAATCAAAATTATAATGTTTATTAATAGCTGTAGCTTTTAAATTTGCTGCTAGTTTTCAGTATATGAATCAAACATAAAATAAAAAGGTTGGAAGTAGTTAAAATTGTAAAGTACTTAATTCTTAGTAACAGTTGAATTAAACATTTAGACACTCTTCTTTAGAATTTTGATTTCTGCATTGCATTAAAAAAACCAAACTCTGTAGTTATCCTGCTTTCAAGATATCATTATCATTGATAAAATTAATGCTTCTATTAAGTATAATCTAAGAAGTTTTTATTTTCATTAAACAGTTTGTACTTACTTTACACACAGACACACACACACACAACAAGTTGAGTTCTCTGTAATGCCAGAATCAAAAACTTTAAAAGGAGTTGATTTGGAGTAAATAAAAATATGAATTGTTACTCACATTCTTGTTTTTGGACTATAATACTCAGGAGTAGAATTAATGTGTTAATTCACTTTCCAGGTAGATCCAGAGAAAATTATAATTGGGAATAAGCCAATAGCACTTCTCCAGATATCAGTCCTGATGGTTGCTAAAAGGGTACAAAGAACCCGTACATAATCGTACTGTGAACTTTACACCTCCCTTCTACCTGGCGTTCTTGGAGGCTGGCCTCTTTGTCACAGAACAAAGAGAAGAGGAGTCGCTGTCAGGCGGTTTGTCAGAAGTCACGAGGGGGATGAGCCAGGAGGCCCTGAAAGCATTCCCTCCTTCTGTTTGTACTAGGACATTGCGACCTATAGACACAGTTCTGGTTGACTGCCACGCATGTTATGGGAGAAAGATTCTGGAACGGTCAATGTATATACAGATACAATGCCTAGATTTCACAGGGATCCCTCAAAAAACCCACAAAAAGCCAAACAAACAAAAAAGAAAGCAAGCATAAATGCGGGGGTGTGGGGGGGGAATGGGACCCGGAAACGGGGTCTGTGTCTGCAGTTCCGTGGGGCTGCGGCTCGAACTGGCTCAGTGGGACACGGGTCCTGATGCTGCCACCCACCCAGAGACGCCAATGGCACTCTTTCAGACACCTTCCAGGGAAGATGGCTAAGACCTTTAAAGATCCTTGGCACCAATTTTGCAGATTTTAAAGCCCTAAGTTATGAAAAGCTTAAAGTAAAAGATAAAGTGTCCTCTCCTTTCAGATTCCATGAGAACCAGGTGGAAGCAATTTTTAAAATTCTACTTACATAAAATATATGGATTATAACTGCTCCTTCAAACCATTTGTCTTTATGTGAGAGTAAAACATTTTCAAATTACTATGGTTAAAACTGATGAAAAAGAAAAAGGTAACTTTATATAATTTCTTTAATATTTTTATTTCATATCATTCTTATAGTTAAATATATAAAATTATCTCAAAGAAACATTCCTTTTTAAGATTAAACTAATTCTAAATATTTTATTAGTTTTTGCTATAAATTTGTACAAAAAGTACACTGTAAAGGAAAACTGCAATAAAAGCTATATAATTTGACTGTATGTATGAATTAGTGAGTCAAGTTAGATACACAGATATGGATAATATAGTAAACTGAGAGAAGTGAATTTTGTAGTAAGAGTTGTATTTAAAAGAAATAGGTTCAAATTGGGTAACCAATGACAGATCCAATAAGTTTTTCATATTGATTAAATTTAAGAAAACCTATAATTCCTGGAAGTAAAACAGATTTAGAGATTAGTGCTTTTGAAAAATGTTTTCTATAGGTAAATATAGCCTATACTTCTCAATGTGGTTAAAAATGTTTTTCACCTATAAAAGTTCATTTTGTTGTAAAAATTTTGGAAGATGCAAATAACACATATAAAAAGTAAAATAAAAAACACCCTTAATCCTACCACGTAGAAACAATCATTGTTAACATTTTTGTGTTATTCTCCTCAGCTTTTTCTTTACACACACATAGTTGTAAAATTATTTTAAATATGAAGAAAATCTGTATATATTAGTATAAGTAATATTATATCAATATTAAAGTGCTTAAGCACTAAAGGTAATAATCAACTTACCTCTTTCTTTAAGATTTCGAAATAGCTTTGATGATCCTTTCCAAATGGGTGGTGTTTCTGAGAGCATTTGATTTAATTCCTATAGCATAAGGTGACATAATGCTGATTATAGGTAAATTAATTATAAAAGAGATAAAAAATATTTGAATTCCTATCCAAAAAAATTCACTTAGAAGACCTGAGACATGGCTGTATTTATCCTGTTCTCCACCCACAAAGCCCAGTATTTGCCCATAGTCCAAACATAAAATAAATGATAAAGATGCTATACCTGGTAGCAAATGATAACCAAATGAAGATAAAACAGTGAGTTTAGTTTAAGTTGTGGAGCCAGTTAGAAGAAGACAGTTTTGTGAAAGTCACTGGAAAAAGCAGGTTCCCTAATGAAGGTCAGAGAAGACCCCGTGGCCTCACACACTGTCGGCTCGCTGTGGCCCTTTTGGATTTAGGGGGCTTTGTGGTGGAAGAAATAAATGGACAAAGGATTGTATCGGGAAGGAATGAGTAATATTTTAATAGTGACTCAAAGAATTGTGACATTACATGAAATGGGAGGACAGGGACATTGAGTTATTATGGACATTTTCAGTTCTTTTTCCTAATTTTAACTTAAATATTCAGTAAAGAATACAGACTTCAATTGTTGATTAATTGGGTTTTGTTCTTAATCAAACTATCACAGCTGGTGGTAGGGGGAAACTATTTTGGAAAATTTAAACATTTGAACTATTCTTTAGATACTAAAACAATTTTGATTATATATGTTGTATTGAAAATAACTAAGTGAGAACTATAATTTGGTTAAATGTGAAGAAAAATTATTAAAGAATTTGGTGAAATAAATTGAAATAATTTGAAATACAAAAATTAAGTCCTGTCTGGTGTGGCTCAGTGGACTGAGTGCCAGCCTGTGAACCAAAGGGTCACTGGTTCGATTCCCAGTTAGGGCACATGCCTGGGTTGTGGGCCAGGTTCCTAGTAGGGGGCACATGAGAGGCAACCACACATTGATGGTTCTCTCCTTCTCTTTCTCCTTCCCTTTCCCTCTCTCTAAAAATAAATAAATTGTTAAAAAAAAGAAATAAAAGGATTTGTATCTATTTAAAAAATTAGTTTGCTAGGTAGCACACTGAAAAAGAAACACTAGAAACTACTTCTATTTCCAGATCTGATTCTTGCCAAAGTCTGGTTACCCAATAGCCTGAGCATTGCTGCCTGGGAGGTTGTTAGAAATACAGAATCTCAGTTCCTATCCCACACCTACTAAATCAGAATCTGTGTTTTTAACAAGATATCCAGACTTTTATGTACATTGATATTCAGAAGCACTTGAAACAAACCCTTCCTGAGGTACTTGTACCTAAAAACATGCTGTAGCATTTATAAGCCATCTTTCTTTACAAAGTGGAGTTGGCATGCAAATAAGGAAGCCCTGGGTGCCAACGGCAGAAGAGGTATTTTTAGGGGATTTATGGACACCCTGAAACCCATCTGTCAATCCTGGCTTTCGTTTCCTTCACAGTGTTATCCCTGCACTGCAGGTAACAGATGCCAGCAGGTTATGGGTAGCACAGCAGAGAGGTGAAAATTCAGCTATGAATAACGATGAGAAGCTGGGATATTTACTGTTTGAACAATACTAAACTCATAAGTATTTCTGTTATAGCAAGAGATTAAAAATATTTTGAATGTGTGTTATACACTTTAATTTTTATCATTTCTACTATATAAATATTAATTTCTTTTTCACTTTAACTGTTTATATGTATTCATCTTAAACTTAGTTACCTTTCATCAAGTACTCTCAATGTGGTTGGCCATGGGCTATTACAATATCTCATTTAATTCTAAAAGACAATTCTCATTTTGCATATTTTATTGAGTCTTAAAAAGCATAAATAACCCAAGGTCACACAACTAGTAAATGACTGGCCAGATCCTTACTGATTCTAGGCAGTTTATTTTAGTAATAATTTAGTTTCTTCTGATCTAGATCATCCAACTGACACACTCATCCTCTTTGTCTTTTGTTAAATCTAAGGAATGTTCAGTTTTAGTAAAATCCCCATTTCCATTCAGGCTGGGAATCTCCCTCCCCACTCCAGTGCCTATCAGAGTCCTTTATACACAGTCATGCTGTATAATAAAGAAGCTGATTAGTCTTTGTCCAGGTTCCTGGGAGGGAGACTCTGTATCCTCCATCACACCTGAGCTTATGCTAAGGAGATGACTCAGGGTGGGGGCTGAGAAGCAGAAAGAACACCCTGTGGTCAGAGTGCTGGGGCTCTGATCTAGCCCAGTCTTTGGGGAGGCAAGAGGACAGGGACTGGAGCCTGACGTCAATCACGTGGCCAATGACCCAGTCAATCAGACCCATGCAGTGAAACCCCCAGTGAAAACCCCTGACGCCAAGCTCAGTGGAGCTTTCAGGTTGGGGGCTATGCAGATGTGCCAGGAGGGAGGGTGACACACCTGGTACCATGGGGAGAGCACAGAAGTTCTGTGCCTGGAGCCCTCCTGTAACCTTACCCTATGTGTGTCATCATTTGGCTGGTCCTTATTTGTGTCCCTTATAATTATAAACTGTAACTTTGAGTGTAGAAGGCTCCTGAGTTCTATGAGTCAGTCTAGCAAATTATTAAAACTTGAGGTGAGTTGGGGGGCACCGCCTGGGTTTGTGGCCACTTGTCAGAAGTATGGGTGGCCTGGGACTCTTGAGCTTGCAGCTGGCATCTGAAAGGAAAGCAGTCTTGTTGGGGACTGGATCCTTAAACACGTGGGTGGAGTCTGACAATAACTCTGGTGGTACTGTCAGAATTATATTGCAGTACTGCAAACAGGTACCAAATAAATATTTGCTGGACTGAATTCAGTTACCTAGAATTATAGTTGCCTTTTAAAGGATTTATACAATTTTCTTAAATGTACACAATTTTGTTTAGAGTACAGTTAATATATATAATATATGGAAATTAGTAAGTACAGAAAAAAATTTATTGTAATCCATGGATAAGCCACAAAAATTTAATACCCTTTTAGTTTAATTCTCTCAGGCATATTTACATAGTATTTTGTTATTGTTGTGACAATTAGTAAATCATTTTGTACATACTATTCAGTAACTCACTCTTTGCATCTAATATATGGGCATATTTTCCTGCCAAATACTATTCATTTTCATTTTCATAGTTACACAGCAGTTATCTATATTGGCAGTTCTGAAATGTAACTTTATATTAATGCATGTGGAAATGGAAACGATAAAGTCTTAGAACACAAGAACATACAAATGCATGTTCTGTAAGCTGTCAGAGTGACAGTGTCATCACTGATCATGCTGCCTCACCACAGGATGAGAGAAAGAAAACAGGCATCTACTCAGTATTGTTACGGAAATGGCTTTGACCTTATGGGTGCCTAAAAAGGTCTTTGCACTTTAAAGAACAACTGGTCTACATTATTCTGCAACTTGCTGTTTTACGCAACCTTACCGTTAGCTCAGTCTGTTCATGTTGATAACATAAGTAGCTCTATGTTATTTATTCATTTTAGCTTTGTATTACTGTATTTGTCCTCGATATACCTATTTCACAGTTCTTTCACTCATTTCTCTACTGACAGACACTAATGTTTCTAATTTTTTTCTGCTATTACAGGAAATATGTACAGGACTCCTGGTATAAACACACAAATGTTTACCTAGTACACACACCTAGAAGTAGAATTTTTAATATGCATTTTCAACTTTACTAGATAGTCAAATTTCTCTCCGAAGTGAATATACCAATTTACAGTCTCACCTGGGTCCTTCTCTTCTTGTCCATACTAAGTACTGGTATTGTTAGATTTCTGGAAGTTGAGAATCTGATGGTTGTGAAATAGCATCATATCTGGTTTAATGTGCATATCCCTGATTACTAGTGATACAGAGCCTTTACACACACACACACACACACACACACACACACACACAAACACCCCAGCCATTCTAACCGTGTTTGTCCCCTTTTTTCTTATTGAGAAGATTTTCTTTTCTATATGGACTTAGAGTAGTTCTGTATGACTTACAAGACACTTTAGACTTACTGTTAAAATGCAGCAAGCATATTCTCTCATTTGTCATACATCTTTGAACACTGTTGATACTATCTTTTAGAATGACAAAGTTTTTGATATTTAACTTTGTAAAATTTACCAGTAATTTCCTTTGAGTTTTTCTTTATATGTCTTTGTCTAATAAAAACTTCCCAAGCTCCTCATTTTGCTTATATCAGAATTTTTGTTTCTCAAAATTAAGAACTTAATCCACCTGAAATCTGCTTTTGTATATGGTGGTCAGTTTGAGACCTAATTTTATTTGCCCAAATGTAAGAAAGACTATTGTTTCAATACCTGCAGGTCAATCATTTCTCCAGTGATTTATAGATCTTCCCATACACGCCTATATCTATTTCTGGATGGTATAGTCTATTATGTTGATCTAATTAAAAGTATTGCAATAATAACAATACTACTTTAATTATTATACAGAGCCTTTACACACACACACACACACACACATACACACACACAAACACCTTTGTTATTAATCTTAACATGACATAGGCCCAAATGTTTTCTTACTTTTTTTCTTTTCTTCCTTTTCAGAATTGTTTTGAAAATCTGGGGTCCTTATTCTTCCAAGTGAATCATCCATGAACATAATATATTTCTCTGTTTACTTATGTCTTTTTAAATATGTTATTAAATCATGCAACTTTACTGTATTTGTTTATTGCTTCTAATTACTCTGGTGGAGTCTTTAGGGTCTTTTACATAAAGAATCATGCCATCTGCAAAAAGTGACACTTTTATTTCTTCATTCCTGATTTGAATGCCTTGGTTTCTTTCTCTTGCCTGACTGCTCTGGCTAGAACTTCCAGTATTACGTTGAATGCACAAAAATCCACCATGTTCCTATATACTAGCAATGACATTTCAGGAAAACAAAAATTTTTAATTCCTTTTGCAATTGCAACAAAAACAATCAAGCACCTAGGAATAAAGTTAACAAAGGACGCGGAAGACCTATATGCTGAAAACCACAAGGTATTATTAAAAGAGATTGAAAAAAATACAATGAAATGGAAAGATGGTCCATGTTCATGCATTGGAAGAATTAATCTAGATAAAATGTCCCTATTACCCAAAGCAATATACAGATCTAATGCAATCCCCACCAAAATCCCAATGACATTTAAAAAAATAGAAGAAAATCATCAGATTTGTATGCAATTACAAAAGACCCTGAGTAGCCAAAGCAATCCTAAACAGGAGGGCGGGATGAGGGGTGAAGCAGCAGGTATCACACTCCCTGACTTCAAGTTATACCACAAAGTGATGATAATCAAAACAGTATGGTACAGGCAGGAGGAAAAAAAAACCCAGACACACAGACCAATGGAGCAGAATTGAGAGTACAGAAATAAACCCACAGTATATGTGAAAATAATTTTCAAGATAGGAGTTAAAAATATACAATGGAGAAAAGCTAACCTCTTCAATAAATGGTGATGTGAATATTGGAAAGCCACTCAAAAAGAATGAAACTAGACTACTATTTACCCCCATATACAAATATTAACTCAAAATGGATCAAAGACCTAAATATAAGACCTGAAACAATACATTACATAGAAGAAAACATAGATTCTAAACTCATAGATATTGGACTCAGAAAAGATTTTATAAACTTGACTCCAAAGGCAAGGGAAGTAAAGACAAAAATAAATGAATGGGACTATATCAAACTAAAAAAGCATCTTCACTGCAAAAGAAACCACCAAGAAAACAAAAAGGCAACCAATTGAATGGGAGATGGGCAGAGCAAAAAGGCAACCAATTGAATGGGAGATGGGCAGAGCAAATGACAGCTCTGACAAGAAGTTAATATCCAAAATATATAAAGAACTCATATGCTTAACACCAAACAAACACTCCAATTAAAAATGGACAGAGGACCTGAACAGACACTTCTCCTAAGAAGACATACAAATGGCAAACAGATAAATGAAAAGATACCCACCTTCACTAGCTACTAGGGAAATGCAAATCAAAACTACAATGAGATGCTATATCACACCTGTTGGAATGGCCATTATGAACAAAACAAGTAATAACAAGTGTTGGAGAGGTTGTGGAGAGAAAGGAACCCTCATTCAGTGCTGGTGGGAATGTAAACTGGTGCAGCCACTGTGGAAAATAGTATGAAGGTTCCTCAAAATTTAAGAATAGAGTTATCATATGACCCAGCAACTCCTCTTCTGGGTACCTACCTAAAAAATTTAAAAACGTCTACTCACAAAGATATATGCACCCCCATGTTCAGTGCAGCATTATACACAGTGGCCAAGACATGGAAACAGCTCAGGTGTCCTTCAGTAGAGGACTGGATAAAGATGTGGCACATACACACAATGGAATACTCTCAGCCATCAGAAAAGGTGAAACGCTGCCACTTTCAACAACATGAATGCACCTTGAGAATATTAAAGCTAAGTGAAATAAGTCAGTCGGAAAAACTACATCAAAACTCATTTATCAGTTCTACTATTGCTATTGTATCACAGTCTCTTTGGCCACCATGAACAACCTATGGATATTCCTATGAACCTGTCCTGCATATGTGAATGTATCTTTGCTTATGCACACTGGTATGAAATCACTGGATCATAGGGCATATTCAAGCTTACTTTATCAGGTACAGATGCATCCACTGTCGTAAAACTTAAACCCAGGGGTATAACTGATAGGTACTGGACATGTGGATCTTCAGCCTTAGTAGATACTGCCAAACTGTTTTCCAAAGTGGGTATACCAATTTACATTCACACACCAGAGTTACCACTGATACGCATATTCAAATCGCTCTTGGATGCGATTTAATGTCCAGAAAAAAACTGATAGCGCATTATATGTGTGTGTGTGTGTATGTGCATGAAAAGAGAGAGAAAGACAGAAAGACAGTGAGAGAGTATGCACACCAAGAGCTTTAACTTACCTGTTTGGAAAATGACTTCCACGTTTTAACAACTATAATAAACAAATATATAAGAATTAGATAACTCAAAATTGGTAACTTATAACACCAAGCTTTCATATCTAAAAGGCAAAGTTTCTTTAACCTCAAGATTTGGATCCAAGATATTTTATTTATGGTATATATTTGTTTCACATACTACAAACTATTCATAATAAATAAATTGAATACAAAACACATTTTTCCATAATCATTATCTTACTTTGAGGATTTCTGGATTTATGAAGTAAGTGAATTCACTTCATGTCAAACATCTATGGTCTTAAAAACACAAATAATGATATTTATTCAATGTTCATACTAGAATATAAAATATTAACATAGAGAAATTATAATTTTAAGGTGTTACCATGATCTCTACTGTATTAGTATCTCTGATGATGATTCAAAAGTCAGGTCCCTCTAGGGTACATGGGAAAGGTGGGGACACAGGAAAAAGAGGCGAAGCCGAGAGCAAGCAATGAGAGCTAGAGAGTTGCGTCCCATTTTCATTCTTCTCCCCTAATGATGTCATGGTTGAGTAAGACACCAGGGATCACTTTCTTTTTCTGATTCCACTTCACATTCCTGAAGATCTCAAAAGCTATAAATCTTATAATATTGGAATAAGTGTGAGTCATACGGCTGTTTCCTTTGCTCATATTTGAACACTGTGAATATCTAATGACTGCCCAAGAATTATCTCCAGGTTTCTATAGGATTAAGTCCTCTCATACAGCTGAATTAGAAACTGGTCAATATTAAGTATTTTTGCTACATTACAGTAATGACAACCAGAAATATTCCTACATGGCAACGTGGTTATTTCTGTGAAATTAACCATAATTAATGTAAACAACCTATCAAATTCAAGATTCTAAGATAGGCATGTCCTTTGCTATCCAACATTCTCTTTTTTAAACAATGAATCATCTTAAGATCAAAAGGGAGTATGTTCTAATATTTAGCAAACTGATTTCTAGGCAGATAGATTTCTTCTTTATGGAACAGCAGCATCCTTTCTTTACCCAAGGTTATTTATAGAAACGTATAATCAAGTGGTTAAAATCGTATGTCTACAAAGTAGAATTCAGAATTTAACCTTAATTATGGTACTGTATACATTCACATTTAAAGACATCCTCCTTTTCATAACGAGCAGAACAATGTGAATAATATTTATTATTCTGCTGCTTTTAATGATAGCAGTAAGGAGAGAAATAAATGGCACAAAAGTACATGCACATGCTCTTATGCAATGTTCAGAAGCTATTTATCAAAAGAGGAAGTTAGACACACTCTTGAGTTTTGTAGGGTTTATGAGATCTCCAGGGTAAATTATTCACAAAAGGCATATTCATTCTGCCGGATATGTCACCATGTTCAATATTATTAGCTTTTTCTCATGAAGACTAAAGAGCCATTAAGATTGTTCTTCAAAGGATTTTCTGATTTTCTAAACTTATTTAATGTGAAGTTACTGCATATATAAATATAACTTGGATGAAGAGGGACTTCAATTCTACTGAATGAATTTTATTTCTTAAAGCTATACATTAATGTTTATTTTATTTTTAATATTTTTATGTATGTCTAATTTTTTTAATAATACATATTTTGAAACTAAAACTAAAATAATATTTGAAGCTATATGAGAGTAATCAATTTGAAGCTATACGAGGGTAATCAATTTAGTTCTAGAAGGGATCTCAATTAACATTTATTTGTATTATAAACTATTAGTCTGATAAAATGTTATAGCATAATATCTTTCAAAATACCACATTATTTGGTTAGTTCTTCTGAAAAACATACTGCTGTACACTGGAGATAAGAAAAAACCTTATGACATTATTAAGATAATTAAGAAAGCACACTCACATTTGGGCTCATCGGTTGTAACAGCCAGAATGAAGTCCTGCGGAGTCATGAACAGCTGGCCCTCGCACTCCACGGAGGCAAACTGACGGAACCGCCTCTCCCGAGACGTGGCGCACAGGTCCAGGTCTTCCGAGTCCGCTCTGCCCACGCCCACCTGGAGTTAGGAAGGCGAGTCATTGGAACTATGCGAAAGAATGCCTCCTTTTAGAATAGAAATGCTTTCGATTGTGTTAAAAGTGAATTAACAGAGTAAGTGAAAATTTGAAAATACTGTCGTCTAAAGAACTTAATACTTTTATAAATAAATAATCCATATGAATACAATGAATTAATATTCCAAAGATCCCACAATGAATATTGTTAAGGGCCTGAAGTTTTGAAACTGGAACTTTGAAGAACCTGTGATTTATTTCTTCAGTTTCAGTCTAAGAAAACATTAAATTTCTGAGCTAGCAGTTTCTCTAGGGCAGTGATTTTCAACCTTTTTCATCTCATGGCACACATAAACAAATTACCTAAATTCTGCAGCACACCAAAAAAATTTTTTTTTGCCAATTGGACCATAAAAATAGGTATAATTTTGATTCATTCACACAAGAAGCTATTGTTGTGTTGGCTGTTGTCATTTTTTTTATTTGACAATCTAAGAGAAAAGGGGTCAGTGCCCCTGACTAAACAGTCAGGTGTTGCGTGTTTTAAACATCGGGCGGCACACTGGTTGAAAATCGCAGCTTTAGAGGGAACACTAACACAGGATGAATGCCTACTATTCACTCTCTGTAGAGGCTTGTTTATTTAATTAGAAGTCTATTCATTGCAGCTTATTAATTTTCTTTAAAAAGTGAAACCTTGATAGGCTATTCATGGATACCGCTAAGGAAACCATTTAGTAGAGGTGCTTAGATTAGACCTAAAGTTGCTAACTCAAGGTGACTGTATTATACTTACTACCAATAATCATTCTGAATTCTACCTAGGGTTGAGAGGAACAGAATTAGAAGGAGTATGTGTATGAGGGGAAGGAAGTCTCTTGTTTTCCTTAATTTAAAGACCTTTCTCTATAGATAAATAATTTTTGTTATTTATTTTCTTTCTAAACTAATGATAACAAATTAATTTTTTAAAAAAGGATTATTTTCCTGATTATAAAATTAACACATAATTATTGTATATAATTTAGAAGACAACTTTAGAAAATTATAGGTATAATTTTTGTGGGGGATTTTTGCAAAAAAAATTGGGTTATACTATCACTATTCAGTATTCTGGTCTTTTTTACTTAATAATATATCAAGGCCGTTTTCCAAGTCACCAAATAGTTTAATAGAGCATTTTTAATCATTGTATACTACTTCATAGTAAATGCTTACAGCATAACAAAATTAATAAATCCAAACAGTTGAATATTTGGGTGATTCATGGTATTTTACTTTTATAAAACAATGTTATAGTGACCAGCCTTGAACAAATTCAGAAAGAAGAAAATACAAATTTCAATGTCAGGAAAATATATGAACATTCCAGGTTTACACAGCATGTTTGAAAGATAGTAATGCTCTTCCTGAAATGTAGGATTTGCATTCACAGAAAAGGGTGGATCACTGACAACAATTTCTGAATGACAGAGTAAAGCACTGGAATTTAATCTGGCAGAAAACAAATGGCTTTAGGGAGACTCTTCAGTGTAACGACGGCACAGAGGAACCAGTGCTTTAGAGAGAGAGAGCAACCAGGCCAGAGACAACAAGCAGCTTGGCAGTGCACCAGGAACAGCGCTCAGGCAATCCGGGGCGCTATGAAATCGTTTTGCTCTGCCAGGGGTGCAAAGTCAGACAATGCACACCAATGTCAAGGACGGGCAATAATCTCCCTGAACACTCCTCAGGGATCAGCCTAGCTTCTTCAGTTCCCTCTACACAAGGACCCCAGGGGTTTCTTCTTCCTCCCAGGGCAGGGAACCCAATCTTGCCTGCGATCACAAATCACTTTCCGGCTTTCTTCTTGCCAGGCCATTTCCTTAGGCCTAGGTGGCCCCAGGTCACTCACTCTTCTCCAGTGGATTTCCTGGAGGACCACTCACTGTAAAGATGTTTTTGTACCACAATCTGAAGCCATGCCTTAGTCTAACATCCCGAACCACAGTTTCTGCCTATCATGTCTTGTGTTTGCTATGAACTAACGTGGACTTGATCTGTGACTTCTACTGCCGGCACTGCCATTACTGCCCGCGAGGTGCCTGTGCTTTCTCACCAAACTCTTCTTCCTTAAGCGCAGTTACCGTTTGCCCCAGCACGCAGAACCTGCGGGCCCCTGCCCTTTGATCCCCCTTCTAGAGCTGATGCTTCCAACTCCTTTCTCCTTCACTTCCACTAACAATCAATCAGCAAATCCTGTTGGTTTCACTCTAATTTCTCAAATCCACCCACTGCCACTACCTTTTTCCAAACACCCGTCTTCCCTAAAATTTTACAGTAATGACCTAATTATGATTTTTGCCTCTAATCCACCCTATACTGAGAGAAAGAGAAGAAAGGCAGAATATAGAGTAATTTTGTATTCTTTAACTACTGGAGCATGGGTGTCAGAAGAAATCTACCACAGAGAATTAAAGGTAATCATTAAAACTCTACTGCATGAGTTCTGTCCACTGTTACATCAGCAAAAGTTACCATCATTTTTGATAATAGCGCTCTTTGGTGAAGCCCACAAGTCAACAGCGTCACCTTAAAAAGAAGGTCTGGGGGGGAATTTGGAAATGGAGTGTTCCCCAGATTAAAAAACACATACATATCCTGGAAGGGAAAAATATGACTTATGACAAGAGAGATAACCCAGGCCTGGGCGCTTCGCAGGGCGTCCTGCTGCAGCAGGTGGTGCTTCCTCCACTGGCTCTGCCCCCTTCGGTGTGACATGTCACATGGTGCAGTGACACACACCAGCCCTGCTGACGGGAGACATGGACTGGCAGAAAGTGACAGCCAGTTTTCCCGTGAGTCCCTTAGACTGGCCTGATCCTCGAACAGATCCTAGATCTAGGAGGAGAATCAGGCTTATCAGGTGGAGAACGGGATAGGATGAAGAGCATCACGGGAAATCAGTACTTGGGCAGGTTTGTGTATTCGCTATTCCCTTCACTGACTCATTTGTCTCCTCCTACCAATACATCATAGTGGTTTATTACCACAGCTTTTGGTCACAGTTTTGCCTTTAGTAAAGCAAAACCCTATCTTATTGATCATCTTTTTAAAATATTCATGGTGAATGATATGTAATTTTCTCTCCAAAGTAAACTTTAAATTCAATGTGTCAAATTTTAAAAATCTTCCTGATGGTTTGTTTGGGATGACATTGAGTTTTGGAAAAATTTAGGGGCACTTGATTTTTCCCAACTAAAATGTGAATGTCTATTTTTAAGTACACGATACTGGATTGATAATAATAACTTTCATTTTAGCAATTACATGGATATAAATCAGGGTTGGGTTTTTTTTTTTTTTTTTTTGGCTTTCAGGTTAAATTTCCTGATCTATGTCACTCAGTAAAGTTTTCCAGTGTTCTTCACCTAAGTTTTAAATATTTTTGGTAGATTCACTCATCTATGGTATAGTTTCTATGTAACAGTGACTTGGGAATGGAACATTTAACCCCTATTACATTTCAATTGGTTATTTCATAGGAATGAGAAAGCTATTGATTTTAGTACTGGGCTGGCCAAAAGGTTTGTTTGGGTTTCCCTGTATGATGGCTCTAGTAGTACTTAGTTGTCTTTAACTTCATTCAAAACAATTTTGTTAGATTGTATTGTGACAGCTGTAATATCAGCATATATTAAAAAAAAACTTACCAAAACTGTTGAATTTTAGTGTAACCATTTTAATATTGAAGATGGAAGAAAATACCCAACATTTTCAGTATATTATGCTATCTTATTTCAAGAAAATTAAAACACAACTGAAATGCAAAAAAAGATTTGTGCATCGTGTGGAGAAGGTGCTGTGACTGATCGAATGTGTCAAAAGCGATTTGCAAAGTTTCGTGCTGGAGACTTCTCACTGGATGATGCTCCACGGTCAGGTAGACCAGCTGAAGTTGAGAGCAATCAAACTGAGACATTAATTAAAAACAATCAATGTTATACCATATAACAGATAGCCAATATACTCAAAATATCAAAATCAATAAAGTTATTGGTAAAAATGAAAAAATGTCTTTTATTTTATGGAAAAAAAATCATACAGGCTTTTTGGCCAACCCAATATATTTGCTTTGTATTCAACTAACCTTACTACATCCCTTCATTAATTTTAATAACTTTTTCTTAGATTTTCTAAGTGGAGAATCATAAGTTCTTTCAAAATAGTCACAGATGTATTACTTATCCTTTTTAATATTTATGCCTCATTTTCATTGCCCTAATTACTAAAGGTCTATGTCTCTAAAAATGATGTTGAATAGTATCAGTGATATTAAGCATTCTTGTTCCATGTTTTGAAGAGAATGCTTCTAATGAATTGCCATTAAATGCAGTGTTTGCTCTTGGCTTTGATAATTATCTTCTACCTTAAATCAGGAATGGGTATTTATCTAGTCTCCTTTGATCACTGAAAATAAATGAGCTTATAGTTAAAACTGTCCTTAGAGATCATTTGGCTCTCTTGTTTCTTTGCCTTTTTGCTAGAATAGAAACATAAATAGAGACCCCAGTTAAAATATGTTGGGAAAATAGAAGCAAAACAAAAATCCCCCCAAAAGCTCAAAACACTAGATGAAACTCTATTATGTACATTATCTTTGAATTATTTTTAGTTTCCAAGATGAATTTCAACTAATGAACTAATGCATGCCTACTATATACAAATGAATCAGTTATAAAGTAATTAGTAGATTGGAAGATTACTTTATCAAAAGCCATTAGGGGAAAAATATGAATAAGTAAGCTTGTTTAATCACTTCTGACTACTTGCAAGCCTTTCCAAAATCCACCTGAGTCTTTCTCTATAGTTTACAAACAGACAATTTTCTGAACTACTGACGTAAATGCACAGGTAAAGAACTTTCTTCATTTATTTATTTTACTGTGGAACAGGTCTGACCACCTTAAACTCTACAGTGTTTAGGAGGCTGACGCGCAGCTGCAGTGCATGAACTGTAGCT